AAACATCTAACTTTGCCAAATTTCACTAAAAAAGCAAGGATAATCCCTTATATCTGAAATTTTCCAGAAACATCTTATTTTGCCCAATTTTGCTAAAATGCAAGGTTAACCCCTTACAATTTGAAATTTTCCATAAACATCTGATTTTGCCCTTTTTTGCTAAAAAAAAATGCAATCTTAACCCCATACAATTTGAATTTTTTCATAAACATCTAATTTTTACCAAATTTCACTAAAGAAAAAAGTAAGGTTAATTCCTTACATCGGAATTTTTTTCAAAAACATCTGATTTTGCCCAATTTTGCTAATATATGCAAAGTTCACCCCTTACAATTTGAGATTTTTCATAAAAATCTGATATTGCCCAGTTTTGCTAAAAATGCAAGGTTAACCCCTTTCAATCTGCAACTTTCTATAAACATCTGATTTTGCCCTAATTGGGCAAAGGTTAACCTCTTACAATTTTTGATCTTTCATACAAATTTGATTTTTCCCAATTTTGCTAAAAATGCAAGGTGAACCCCTTACAATCTGACATTTTTTAATAAACACCTGATTTTGCCCTATTTTGCTAAAAAATGCAAGGTTCACCCCTTACAATTTGAGATTTTTCATAAACATTTAAATTTGCCCAATTTTACTAAAAAAGCAAGGTTAACCCCTTACAATTTGAAATTTTTCATTCACATCTTATTTTGCCAAATATCACTTAAAAAGCAAGGTTAACCCCTTACAATCTGAAATTGTCCAAAAAGATCTGATTTTGCCCAATTTCGCTAAAAAAATACAAGGTTCACCCCTTACAATTTGAGATTTTTCATAAATTTTAACATCTAACTTTGCCAAATTTCACTAAAAAAGCAAGGATAATCCCTTACATCTGAAATTTTCCAGAAACATCTGATTTTGCCCAATTTTGCTAAAATGCAAGGTTCACCCCTTACAATTTGAGATTTTTCATAAAAATCTGATATTGCCCAGTTAAGCTAAAAATGCAAGGTTAACCCCTTTCAATCTGCAATTTTCCAGAAACATCTGATTTCGCCCTAATTGGGCAAAGGTTAACCTCTTACAATTTTTGATTTTTAATACAAATCTGATTTTTCCCAATTTTGCTAAAAATGCAAGGTTAACCCCTAACAATCTAACATTTTTCATAAACACCTGATTTTGCCCTATATTGCTAAAAAAAAATGCAAGGTTCACCCCTTACAATTTGAGATTTTTCATAAACATTTAAATTTGCCCAATTTTACTACAAAAAGCAAGGTTAACCCCTTACAATTTGAAATTTTTCATTCACATCTTATTTTGCCAAATATCACTAAAAAAGCAAGGTTAACCCCTTACAATCTGAAATTTTCCAGAAAGATCTGATTTTGCCCAGTTTTGCTAAAAATACAAGGTTCACCCCTTACAATTTGAGATTTTTCATATAAATCTGATATTGCCAAGTTATGCTAAAAATGCAAGGTGAACCCCTTACAATCTGACATTTTTTAATAAACACCTGATTTTGCCCTATTTTGCTAAAAAATGCAAGGTTCACCCCTTACAATTTGAGATTTTTCATAAACATTTAAATTTGCCCAATTTTACTAAAAAAGCAAGGTTAACCCCTTACAATTTGAAATTTTTCATTCACATCTTATTTTGCCAAATATCACTAAAAAAGCAAGGTTAACCCCTTACAATCTGAAATTTTCCAGAAAGATCTGATTTTGCCCAATTTCGCTAAAAAATACAAGGTTCACCCCTTACAATTTGAGATTTTTCATAAACATCTAACTTTGCTAAATTTCACTAAAAAAGCAAGGATAATCCCTTACATCTGAAATTTTCCAGAAACATCTGATTTTGCCCAATTTTGCTAAAATGCAAGGTTCACCCCTTACAATTTGAGATTTTTCATAAAAATCTGATATTGCCCAGTTAAGCTAAAAATGCAAGGTTAACCCCTTTCAATCTGCAATTTTCCAGAAACATCTGATTTTGCCCTAATTGGGCAAAGGTTAACCTCTTACAATTTTTGATTTTTCATACAAATCTGATTTTTCCCAATTTTGCTAAAAATGCATTAAACCCCTAACAATCTAACATTTTTCATAAACACCTGATTTTGCCCTATATTGCTAAAATAAAATGCAAGGTTCACCCCTTACAATTTGAGATTTTTCATAAACATTTAAATTTGCCCAATTTTACTACAAAAAGCAAGGTTAACCCCTTACAATTTGAAATTTTTCATTCACATCTTATTTTGCCAAATATCACTAAAATAGCAAGGTTAACCCCTTACAATCTGAAATTGTCCAGAAAGATCTGATTTTGCCCAATTTCGCTAAAAATACAAGGTTCACCCCTTACAATTTGAGATTTTTCATATAAATCTGATATTGCCAAGTTATGCTATAAATGCCAAGTTAACCCCTTACAATCTTCAATTTTCAAGAAACAATTGATTTTTCCCAATTTCGCTTAAAAAAGCAAGCTTAACCCCTTTCAATCTGCAATTTTCCAGAAACATCTGATTTTGCACTAATTTGGCAAGGTTAACCTCTTACAATTTTTTACTTTTCATACAAATCTGATTTTGCCCAATTTTGCTAAAATGCAAGGTTCACCCCTTACAATTTGAGATTTTTCATAAAAATCTGATATTGCCAAGTTTTGCTAAAAAATGCAAGGTTAACCCCTTTCAATCTGCAATTTTCCAGAAACATCTGATTTTGCCCTAATTGGGCAAAGCTTAACCTCTTACAATTTTTGATTTTCATACGAATCTGATTTTTCCCAATTTTGCTAAAAATGCAAGGTTAACCCCTTACAATCTAACATTTTCCATAAACACCTGATTTTGCCCTATTTTGCTAGGTAAATCACTGACAATTTGAAATTTTTCATAAACATTTAAATTTTTCCAATTTTACTAAAAAAGAAAGGTTAACCCCTTACAATTTGAAATTTTTCATACACATCTTATTTTGCCAAATTTTACTACAAAAGAAAGGTTAACCCCTTACAATCTGAAATTTTCCAGAAAGATCTGATTTTGCCCAATTTCGCTAAAAAAATGCAAGGTTCACCCCTTACTATTTGAAATGTTTCATAATCATCTAAATTTTACTAAAAATGCAAGGTTAACCCCTTACAAGCTGCAATTTTCCAGAAACATCTGATTTTTCCCATTTTTGCTAAAATGTAAGGCTAACTCCTTGCAAACTGTTCAATCAATACATGAAGTGTCCCATTTGACTTTTTTAAAACAAATTATTTTTCCAGTTTTTAGGGTAAAGGAATTTTCTCTTTTTCCTTTCTCTTTTGTTGTTGCTATATTAACTCATTCGTATGGAATGCTCATAGTCAATCAAAGAATATTTCACACATAGGGGCCTAAATTATATATTTTTAAATCTAATACAGACGCATTGATAGTGCTATCATATACCATATTCTAATACCATTGCGAATTACTGTATTCTTTGTAATGCTCACAATTAAAGACACGTTATTTGAAAGATGTATAAATAATATTTATATTACAATGTACATCTTTATTCTTTCCCAGTATAATTTATGGCGTTTCTTACGTCAATTGCCAATCGCGTCATTATATAATGATAGTAAAATTGATCAAACGAAACTCCGTTTTGATTATAGTCAATTATGAAATATTCATTGATTTATGACATACACCTTTGTTTCAATTTTGATACTTCCCGTAGACCTGCCGAGCAGCTGTAGATATCAAACTAAACCAAAGTATAAAAGATAGAGGGTAAAAAAAATCAAAAAGTTATGTGCTAGTCAAGCTTTCAGGGATCGGTCTGAGCCATAACAATGCCCCAGCCGATCCCTTAGTTCTCTTCCGGGGTCTCGGCGTCCCCGACCAATACACACTTCCTTCCCTATCCATCCATATAACCCCGGAGGGCCAGGCACCATGTAAAAGCAAAGAGCTAAGGGAGGAACAGGGCGGCCCCTAAGCCCTGATCCTCCGAGTGGACCACATGCCCTGAACCTGTACGAAGGCGCCAACCTGGAACTCGCGGACAGTACCAGCAGCAGTGCTTACCGATTAAGCTAAGGTACTGTTGGTAGTTTACGACGGGAAATTAAATCTCTTATAGTGAATAATTGAACTCATTCGTTAGAAACCAAAAAGACACCAGCGGGATTCGAACCCGGGACCCCGCTAACCGTGGACGACGAATCGTAACCACTCGGCCATTTCGTTACCTTAGAATTGTCCTTAAACTGAGAAATGTTGTCTTTATAGGTGAGCAAACGCGCCAGGAAGATTACTGGGTCCATTCGCTTTACCTTAATGGGTAAAAACAAGTCGATATAATGAGCCCAGTGTGTTTGGTTTGTTAGGAAGCTGCATAACACAGCCTAATGTGCAAAACAGTCGTGTGCTAGGCGGATCATTACGCAACAATGAACACCGCAATTGTGTATTTTCAAAAGGCAGACGCGTAGATTTCTACTCTTTGTATCTGGGCACATATAGATTCTCACCTCCCTCTTTAGCTATTTGGACTTTCTTAAAAAGAAAAATAGAGACTGTCAGCGAATCTCCGGGAGTTAAAATAAGGATCGTCCCCTCGATAGACCTCAGTAAAGTTCAACATTGGGCTCTTTTTCAACAAATATATTAAACATCGCGCAAATAATGAAAAACATCGCACACTTTGAACATCCGGCACATAAATGTAAAAGATAACAAACACATATTGAACATCCAACATATATATTGCAAAATATTGAATATTGCAACGTTTGACACGCCATATATCGCGACTGTCACATTGACTGTTTTCCGATGTTTTTTTCCAATTTAACTTGAAACTCTGCATTTCAATATCCCAACCGCACGTTGGCGAAAAATAAAAGACCGTGCGCCAAATAAATTGCGCCCTCTATTGAATGTATCAAACTTTTTAAACTCTGATTCCCTGACGTCTCAAACACCATTTAGTTATAGGGTATACACGGGGGCAGGCTAGTCAATCAGCAGCAAGGAAACTCCTACTTTTTGTGTTTGCCAAGTTCAGAAGTTAATGGTTTACCGGTTGCCTGCATTACTGGAAAGAGAGTCTGAAAGTGAAACGACGTAATAAGCGATGACTTGATGGTGAGCACGATAAGCTTATGCATATGTATCAAATGCAGCACCAAATTTCAATCAATTTAATCATTCTTTTTCATACGCATGATGGGCGCAATTAGTAAGTACAATTATTCCATTAGCCTAATTGTATTTGTATCTAGCATGTGTAGGGGTGCACACCGGTAAATCCATCCTCCAAGCTCATGAATAAAAGTTATACCCAACATTATTAGAGAGTTCTGAGCGCCTTAAAATTGGGGGATTGAAGAGATATGGTAATGAACCGCTGGCCCGGACTCGGGGCTTCAAATTCTGAGCATTTTGGATGCTAATTGCTATTGGGCTCGAAAGTGGCGCTATTTAATTTTACCATGTTGTGGAGGGATCATTTTTCGAGATGGCTTCTTTTCCGCTTTGAAGAAAATAGGTGTCGTCTTCTTTGGGTGAGAATATCTCGAAAAGTCAATGGTCAACCCACCAAAAAATGAAATGAAAACGAAAGATGGGATGTTGATCATTATTTTTCTGTGCAGCTTGAATACCTGTGAGTGTGAGAGTTCTGAGTATTTTTAAAAGAATAGGCTTTTAGCACCAGTGTCTATGGGAATTTATTTACACTGTTGCATCCGTAGGCTATAGGTTCTTGACCTACCGGTAGTCCTTCAGTCGTTTTCCTAGTTCCGGATTTTTCCTAGTCCCGAATAGCTTCAAATAAAAACCTACCTCTTTTGGAATAGTCTCCAATAAAAAAAATTCTGACGATGTGCATTTTGAAAAGAAAAATGTAAGTTAGTTAAGCTCCTTGATGGACAAACATGACAAAGATTTTTCCAAAAAAAATCATTAGAACATAGAAGAGGAATTTTGGCCAGATTTCTGACTCGCACTTCAACATGTTTGGACGGTTTGTAGAAAATCGCGGTAGCTGCAAATCGACGAAAACTTTTCTCCTTGATGTATCACTTGTTGTAGGCCTACCGTGTGATTTTGAATAATTTGAATATAAACTCTTCCATCGAATACTTGTTAAATCAAAATAACTTGTAAAGTCTCTAATTTTTGAAAATTTGTCAACAAATGACCGTATGCTTTTGCCTAGTTCTGGATAGTGCGTGCACTCATGACCCAACTACATGCACGTTAATCGATTTTGTGTGACGTATTCTGTGCTTGGTCAAAGATTTTCGGTCCGTGCGTGCTCAATTCAAGCCTTTGCGCTGCAGACAAACGTATTCTCTTTTTAAAATTTGCTGGAATTCTCTTGAATAAACTATTTTTTGGAAAATGAAATAATACTTTATCAGAAAATATGCTTGTTTCGGTTGGTTCTGGCTGAAAAAATAGATTTTCTCGCATGATTTTTTTTTTTGGCGTGAAGCAGTTTTGATCGATTCTGAACTTATTGAACCGATCTGGAACTAGGAAAAGTGACATCGGTACTTTTGACGTCATAAAATCATAATAAAAAGAGCTTAAATTTTGAAAATTATTTTGTTGTTTCTCGATCACTCAAGGTAAACTTTCTAATCAATGTCACTTGAATGTGTGGAGTATTAAATTGAGCCGTAAGCAGCCTGAATGATGTTTTCTATACAGAACCAGGAAAACGACTGTACATGTCCTAGGCTAGACCCGTGAACCTGGCTATATACATAGCCACGCTTCAATCTATAGTAAAAACACTCTATTGTGATCCGCAGTTACTAAGATGGAGGGACCGTTCTAGTCGAATTTTAGACCCATAAATGTGGCCAATTTACTGGACTACCTAAATAACAGCTGCCACACTTTTTCGTGAAATTTCCAGATTCGTTTGCACATGTATGTTTGCGAATCAAAATTTCAACATGAAATTTCACAAAAAATAGACATCTGAAAAAGGCAGCACTTTCTAATTAGCCTATAAAGAGGGTGAGTATGCTTCTAAAGCAAAAATAGAATACAAACTAAGCCTAAATGTGAAAATCAAAATTTGACATAGTTCGACATGTTTTTGTACATGGGGGAAGTGTGGCCTTTATTTACGGAGGTAGTCCAGTAAATTGGCCACATTTATGGGGCTAGCCGAATTTCGGCTACATTTGACAGAATATCTGCATACAAAAATCAGTTGCGCCTATCATTAAATAATCTTGATTCCTGGATGGAATTGGAATTAGTTCCAAAATTGTAGTCTTCCTAGCAAAGATTCAATTGAACAACTGACGCATGCACAGTACAACGGTCGACTTTTTTAGAAATAGAACAACATTTTTCAAATTGCCTTAATGGTGAAAACTTACCCTTTTTTAAACAGGTGAAGAAAACATAAACAAAATGGATAACCACATACTGACATACAAGCCCTCCGTCAAGGCAAAAGCCAAGGATGCAGATCTCATGAGGGAGCGCAAAGGGTCTGTAGTGCGCCCTCGCTCCGTCAGCTTCAAAAAGAATCAAGAGGGTGACATGGTAACGATCGACCTGTTCAACCAACCCAAAGCAGAGGAGAGGACCAAAGACACACTCGTGAACGAAAGTGTAAGTGCTCTGTATTCATACATCTGTGTTTTGAAAATCCATGAATTTTGTGATGATGTTTTGACTATTAATTCGTCGGGTGAACCACGAAGTGACGATCATCTATGGGCTCTTAGCACATGATACGTCACTTCGTGGTGGGAACGTCGATTTGATTAGAGACATTCCTATTATACCGGTAGTGCGTAGGCAGTTTTATGAATCAACCTTCAGTGATGGTCCTTAGAGTGTACAAACTCGTCCCAAAATACCTGCAACATTTTTTTTGCGAGGCGGCGCGGAAACATGTATCGCCATTATTTTTTATACCATTTTAAAGCTTGGAATCTCAACTTTATCCCTGGTAAGTATTGGTTTGATATTTAAAAGATGTTTAATTATTCGTGTTTGAATAAAGGCATGTCAAAAACAAACTCAACCGATTTCAAGGAAAATTAATCATGCGCACTTTTTCTACTGTGGAAATGGTTCATCATGTTCATCTTGTTCATGTTGTGACAATTTTGTTGCCTTTTACTTTGTGTGTTTCCTATTCTTTTCAATCCACGTAGACTACACCTTAAATAAATTCACAAACCAATACTCTCCAGGTTATCTCTTCCAAGTTAATATTCCAAGCTTTAAAATGGAATAAACATAATGTCGGTACGTGTCTCCGTACCGACGTTAGAGCCTCGCAAAAAAAGTTGCGGGTATTTTCAGACACGCTGTAGAATAGAGCAAGGGATCAAAATGTCTCTTGGCTCTCCCAAATGTCAATGTGCTTGCAGGCTAAATGTACATTTCTAAAAAAGTTCATAACTTCCCCAAGTATACCTTTTTGTAATGTCTGTTTGCATTTGAGTTGATCATGAAGGGTTTCTTTCCCATTTTTTTTCAACCACCAGCAACTATTAGTGTTAGATATGGACTGTAAAATTGAGCTGGTTAGATTTAAGTTGTATTTAAAACTAGTAATACTGGAGTCGTATGTGTGTAAAGTGCACGTATCTACAAACAATTAGGTACTCAAGGCGCTGGAAATTATTTATATTATTAGAGACAGGTAAATGAAGTTATGAGAAATATGAGACCCATTATGTAGCACCTTATAAGGGTTTACAAGGTGCTGCGGTGCATATTGCTGCCACTGCCAGAAACACCAGGGCAAAACCCCTTCTCTTAGCGATAAGTGTTACTGGGTTTTTGAACGTGCATTACACAACACACAAGACCTACGGCTTTACATCCCATATGAAGGACGAAGCAATAATGGTAAAGTGCCTTGCTCATGATCACAAGCACCATGTTCCCACGGTAAGGATTCAAACCCATGTACATGTACCACGGCACACGGGTCGAACACCGTAACCATTGGACCACAACATTCCATATGACCTGAATAATAAGTGTGTGGAAAGTTTGGTCTCCTAATTGGATTGGTAGGCCTAATGGTTGAATCAGTTTTCTTCATTTAAAATTTAACCCCAGTCCACCCACTAAAAAGTATGGCAATTTCAGAATACGGCTTAAGTTTCCTACTAATTACTTTGATATAAAAAAAAACTTGCAAATGTATACACCATTCTTTTTCCTTGAGTTCCTCTTTTATTGCCTGGGTTTATTTCACTGTCCTGACTTGATAAACCATGCGCTCCGGCTATGAACAGCTGTTGGTTAGATAAGTTCAGTGCACTTTTTACAGCTGATAAGGTTTCTGGGGTAGTTGTGTGATTCACACAGGTTGGTACACGCAAAGTTCAAAGGTTATTTATTAGGTATGACTATGACATGATAATGAGCTGTTACTTGAAGTACCTGAAAAGTAGGTACCGGTACATGTCCATGTACATTGTGTATATATGTACAAGTTATGGATTGAGTAACACGCATTTTGCACATATGACATGTACATATATGTGTGAATTGACCTGTAATGTTTGTATTGGAGATTTCTCAAAGAGTTAAATTTAGACATGAAAAACAAACAAAGAAAAGACACAGTATTTTTTGTTCTCTTAATGTATGAACCCTAACCGAACTCAACCCATCAAAGTTTAACAGCAGGTTTTTTTTTTAAATCTGTTGAATCTGTTCGGATGGTACAGTACCCCTAAATTGATGGTCTTTTACACTGGGGTTGGCATATCTCCAGAAACTAAGTCCAAGAGTGTGTGTGTAAAATTTACGTGGGTGTTGGAATTTGCCAGAATGGGTATGGTTCCTAGTAAATTAGGCTTGGCAGTTAGGGTTAATGCATCAACAATGTACTTCCAACATTGTATCTAAAAAAACTGTATCAGGCATTGATTCCTTGTGACTGAAAATGAAGAAAATTATTTTGAATATGTAAGACACATTATTCATAATAAGCTCCCTCCATCCTCCATGCTCATTTATTTTAATCACTTGATAATCAAGACTACAACATGATCTATTTCATGGGAGTGCAAAGTTACAGGTTCCACAAAGATCAATTATTAATTGATTTGTACCGGTACTATCACTTCCTCTCATGAGAGACTTGTACGCCAGTGATTTTGCCTTACCCCCACCCCCTTAACCATGATGACCTATTGTATGCTACAAAGAAACTAATGACACTTGTGATCCCTGCAAAAACATTTTAGAACACATCTTTTTAATCCTTGTGAATGATTTGGAAGATGATGCTAAAAGGCTAGAGGTGTAAGAACACTTGAACTTTTTAGAAAACTTGTGGGCAATTCCAATGTTATGCAAGGAAATGTATGTAATTGTCCGTAACAGAGCCAATGTGAGACATGCACATGAAATTAATAATGCACAGAAATGATCAAAAACTTTTAGTGTGAAATCTCCTTGTCCTACATGTATATATACTCAGTAATGTATAAGATTTAATTAGTCAGGTTTATTCACTGAGCTTTTAACCACTTCGCGCCGGGATTATTTTTGCCGAAAATTTCCCGCCAACTTGTGATATACAGCCAAATGCCACAAACACCAGTAGGCCCACTGATTCGCAACAGCCATCTCAACAGCATTTGTACAATATTTCTTGCCGAAACCTCATGCATTGTATGTTTTAATACTCCGGGGTGTGCACTGGAGCATAAATCGTTATGAAAGGAAATGTACAACAATAGGCCGTGCGAAACGGCCAAGTCAAGATCAACACACGGTCTGCCTCCACAGACTTCATGGAATTTGTGTCTGTGTACAAGAAGCCCGAGGGATTAGCGTGTTTAGACGTCATCCGGAGGCGAGTCGAGGCAATCTTGACGTCTTAACCCGTCACCTGTGCCTGTGTATAAAAACAGCCAGAGTGTGTTGAGCGTGATCCCTCGTCTTCCGTGAGGCAGCTGTCGGTCCTTGTTCTTTAGGAATGGGGTTCCTTATGGAAAGGGAACTACTTAAGGGAAGTCCTTAAGCTTGCTTCCTATCTTGTGTAACCCTTTTGGTACCTTCATGAAAGTTTTGTTATCAACACTTTTGAAAGAGAAGTTCATTAAAAAACACATAAAAAACTGCTGTTTGTTATGATGGAATTTGCTTGTCTTTTGTCAGGACTTATATCTTGCTGCAACCTTCATCATTGATGCCAAGTATTCCCGGAACTACAAGTTCATGACAGATCCAGCCAGCTTAAAGTAAGATTTATCTTTTGTTTTCTGTTTTTTAAATCTTTTTGTTTAAAGGGAGGTTTAGCTGCATGTCCTATGCGAACGTCAACGCAGACCCGGAGGCCATTTATGCGTTGACGTGTGCACAGACTTTTCGCGTTCACGCTCACATTTTGTCTCGCGCAACGTGTTGCTAAACCTCTCTATTATTGTGGTGGAAAGTGTAAGGACTTAGGGCCAGTTTATTTGTAATGTATTTCCATTGCATGCATGGTCAGTGTACAAGAATCTATGCGTTACTGGGCGTAGATTAGCCCTCATAAGTGGAGCTGCTACGTGAATGGCATTGGTTGGCTATATAGGCACTGTACTGTATGCATGTTAGCCAAACATGATGCGGTGAGAGCTGACATGTTAAATTGCTTGAGTTCAGCTGCAGACAGCTAGCAAACAAGAAGTAGGTTGATTACTTGGACTGTGCATTTGTACAATGCTTATGCGCAGTTTGTACAAAGTTGTGTGAGCCGTACTGAGGTTACGCTGGTACGGTACATGTACATGTGTGCATACATGTACACGTAACATGTAGCTGATATGTTGCAAGTATAAGGCTGTCATAGCTGTACGTTGCTGATGATGGCTTGCATGGTTGATGCATAGCAAGTTCAAGGCTGTCATAGCTGTACATTGCTGATGCTGGCTTGCATGGTTGAGAACAAAGCTGTACTGCTGTAGATTGCAATGTTATACATTGCTGATGCTGTTGTTGACATTGTGGTGCATTGCTGACATTGTGTTGCATTTGCTGATGCTGTTGCAAATTGCTGCTGCACATTGCTGCTGCAAGCAGTAGGTTTGGATCATCTCCCTAATAAAGAAAGGACCCAGATAATAAAACAACCACCCCAATTAATGCCAATTACTCTACAGTTATTCAATTGCGGAATAAATGCGCATTGTTGCTTGAGATTACCGACAATTCTGTATTCAAGGTGTCTTTAGCAGAGAGTTTATAACAAGCAGTCACAATCAACAGTATGTATTTCCTCCAAAGTGGACCTGCACCCTTAGCCTTGAAGTCGCTCTGAGTGGTCTCTCGTCTAGGGAAGAGCCTTAGGTATGAGATCCGGAATGGAATCGTTCGAGAACTGGGCGTGCAGAGCCCGCCCAGTAAGCTGCCGCCCGCTTCGAACACTGTACCCGCCCGGTTACTCAAGCGTGACGCTCGGTTGACTGCTGGAGTGGCCCTCTGGGTCACAACAATACCTGCTATTAACGGATTTGTGGTTATTGTTCGAGGATTACAGTGCCCATCTGAGTTGGGGTTGGTTTGGAAGACACCTGGCTATCATTATATTTTTGCTGAAATTTATTCTATTTGAGCTTCATAGAATGCAAGTATTTCGTTTTTGCATGAAATCATTTGACTAATGAACTTAATACAACTGCCTAGTTTGCAAAGTTCTATAAATAATGGTTAAAAGCTAGATGATCAAGGTGTGCATTTTTTTCTGTGACTTTTTCGAAATACGAACGTTGAAATCTATATTCTCGGATTTGATCAAATGTACGAAATGCCTCATTCTGTATTTAAATAAAGTATTCCCCATATGACAAACATGAATTGTTTTGCCTGTGGTAATAATTTGATGTTTTTGAATTTTAGACTGTGACACCGCACTTGCCCCTTATTTACGTTAATTCATATGCATTTTAAACAGAAAAGTCTGATGCCCGTTGGAGAATAGAAGCGGGCAGGCTTTGCCCGCTCGGTAGCCCCCGAACGGTATGAATACTGGCCCCTCTGTTAGTGAAGTGTGACGCTCGGGAAGCGGGTGGGCTTGGCCCACTTGGTAGCCCCTGATCGGTATGAATACTGGTCCCTCTGTTCTTGAAATGTGACACTCGAGAAGCGGGCGGGCTTGGCCCACTCGGTAGCCCCGATCGGTAATCAATACTGTGGGCATTCGGTTATCCAAGTGTGATGCTCGAGAAGCGGGTGGGCTTGGCCCACTCGGTAGCCCCTGATCGGTATCAATACTGTGGGCGCTCGGTTATCCAAGCGTGACGCTCGAGAAGCGGGCGGGCTTGGCACGCTTGGTAGCCCCGCTCCCTCCCCCCCCCCCCCCCAATCGGTATGAACACCGTGGGCGCTCGGTTATTCAAGCGTGACGCTCGGTTGACTGGGGTGGCTCTCTTGGTCTCAGCACTGCACTGTCCATGGATTAGTGTTTATTGTTCGAGGATTACAGCGCCTGACCAACTTGCAGTTGGTTTGCTTTGGCTGTGATTATCTGCAGAATACGAGCATGGCTAGCCTAGGTACCCGGTAGGCCATGTGTCAAGGTTTAATTTGACCAAGTTTGTTTGAAATCGGCTGAATAGTTTAGGAGTTATGGCCATTTTTTCATTGGTCACATGACCGTTTGCCCAAAGAAAGAAAGAAAGAAAGAAAGAAATTTGGCGATCACAGTATATCATAATAACTCCTGACCGTTACAGTGGGAAAGTGCTCTGGAAGGAGTACTTCCGCCATTTTGAGTCGTGTCGTGAAGTAAACCAGTGGAGTAAGAAGCAAGCTGTGAGGTGGTTAGCTGCAAGCTTGGATGAGGCGTCATCCATATTGCCATCAGGAGGAAATCCAGAGGCAGGTCTGTGATCTGGAGAGGAGGGAATGATTGAACCCTCCGATAGTCCATGGGCGGCAAATGTTGTTTTGGTTGATAAGAAGGATAGAACAAAGCCCTTTTGTGCCTGTGCTGTGCATTGATGAAACATCGATGCATTGAGTGGGGCAAAGTGGTTTTGTAGGCTTGGTTTGGCATTGGGGTCGGGTACTGGCAAGTTGCACTGGATGAGGACGCCAGCCAAAAGTCAACATTTGTTTCAAGAAATGGGTTGTACCAATGGAAATGCGTGCCTTTTGGGCTGTGCAGTGCCCCGGGGATGTTAAAGCGGCTCATGGAAAAGGTCATGGCCGGCTTGCTGTGGGACATCCTACTGATTTATTGGGATGACATCATCGTGTTTGGTCAAATGGTGACAGAGGCCCTGGAGCATGTCAGAGTTGTGTTGAGCAGTGTCATTTGTTTCAAAGGTCAGTGGCTCACCTAGCGCACATTGCGTCCTCAGAAGGGGTGGCCACCTATCCTCAGAAGGTTGAAGCAGTGGCAAATTGGCCAGTTGCAAAGTGTGCACGACATGTGAGGAACTTTTTGGTCCTTACATCGTACTACCGGAAGTTCATACTGGGGTTTGCAAAGATTGCGAGCCCACCTCATGCCTTGATGGAGAAATCAAGGGAGTTTGTGTGGACTGAGAGTTGTCAAGAAGCATTTGGAGTTTGCCGAGATTACGAGCCCACTCCATGCCTTGATGGAGAAATCAAGGGAGTTTCTGTGGACTGAGCACTGTCGAAAGGCATTTGAAGAGCTGAAGTGCAGGCTTCAGGCTGCTTCAGTTTTGTCATATCCAATGCCCGGGGAGATTTTATCTTGGACATCGATGCCAGCGATGATGGCATCGGTCGCTTATTGGTGCATGCTGCAAGACTCGATTGGGGAGTCCCAAACATGATGAAGTTGGGAAGAGAAGTGGATGTCCCGGTTGATCTGGTGACAGGATGTCCTGAGGTTAAGGAGGATACAACTGCAGACTTTGCTGAAGTATTGCGAAGTAATATGCAGGAGGCCCACTAAAGGGCTATTGATCATCTCGGGAAGAGTGCCTGGAGGCAAAGAAGAACTATAATATATCAGAGTTCTTCTTTGCCTCCAGGCACTCTTCCCGAGACAGTAGGCGAGCATCTGAACATGGGTTGAAAGAGGGCTAATTTGTGTGGCTGCACAACCCGACGTAGAAAAAGCACGTCCCCCAAATTACAACTAAGGTGGGAAGGGCCATGGCTAATTCTCAAAAAGTTGTCGGATATGACGGTTCACATCCAGCTTAAGCAAGGTAGAAAACCAAAGACTGTCCATGTGGACAGGCTAAAACAGTATGTCGCTGAGACCTGTGATCAAACCTTGGAAATGTCATCCCAGCATTGAGGCAACAGAAAACCTCCCCTTCAAGGATGAAGTGACAGAGGTTCAAGATGACAAGGGTTCATCTGAGGAGTTGGTCTGTGAGGCCGGCAGTTCTGTTCCTGTGATGGAGGATGCCATTACAGAAGAGCATAATGAGTCCCCACCTAGGGGGTACCCCCAAAAGAGCTCAACAAGTTACCCCTGCAGTATCGATAATGTGTGCCAGTGGCACATTTCCCCTGCAAACATTTACAACTATTTGTAAATTGTGGAATTTGGAATTCCTAAGGTCACCTGATGAGTCGGGCCCTTCTACGAAAACCGGAGAGAGCTGCTTGGATGGTGGGTCTCAAGGATGAAGCACGATGGCCAGCACGATGTTACTTGAGGTCACCCTTTATCCACCCAGGAAAATGTTGGAGATGGCACGATGGTCAATGATGAGGAGCAATCGGTATCATACCTCAAGCCCAAGACGTAGATACAGAAGGCCGACCCATGGGAAAGTGAAGTCCGAAGACCAAGATTATGTAGTATAAACCGTTTACAGTTTTAACTTTATATAACAGTTTGTAAATTGTCGGTAAAGAAAAAATCAAATCAGTCTTAAAATCGCATAGAAATCTCTGAAATCCTGTTGGTGTAAATTATGTCAAATTTGATGTACAGGGAAATCTTTATTCTGTATAAAGCAGAAATCTTATCTAAAGAGTTCTAAGATCTTGTGAAATACGTAAGTTTTGTGCAAAGTGATTCTTCCTGAAGTTTAGAAGTAATTTTCTGTAAAATATTTAATGAGCAAAAATTTGAGCATCTGATTTATCATTTTCAAAGAGCTAAAAGTTCCTCTGGAAGTCAGGAGAAACAAATTTTAGGGTTTCTTTGGTAGACCTAAATCTCAGTCTCTACTTTTGTGAAATTTTACCAATAAAGATGTCCCAGTTAGACTCTGTGATGAAGTGGCCCTATTTTGGCCTGAATCTCCAAATGAAAGTTCCCGACAAACGACTCATTTAGCTTGATCGCATCACATTTATTGATTATTGCTGAATAAATTACCATTCACTTGAGGTTACCGACAATTCTGTTTTTAAGGTGTAAATTCTGTGCATTTTCAAAGAGCTAAAAGTTCCTCTGGAAGTCAGGAGAAACAAATTTTAGGGTTTCTTTGGTAGACCTAAATCTCAGTCTCTACTTTTGTGAAATTTTACCAATAAAGATGTCCCAGTTAGACTCTGTGATGAAGTGGCCCTATTTTGGCCTGAATCTCCAAATGATAGTTCCCGACAAACGACTCATTTAGCTTGATCGCATCACATTTATTGATTATTGCTGAAATTACCATTTTACTTGAGGTTACCGACAATTCCGTTTTCAAGGTGTCTTTGTTACAAGTTTAATGTGTAATTAGCCCAGAGTTAACAATCAGTCACAATTGGCGGTAGAGTTCCTCGAAAGTTGACCTGCATCCTCAGCCTTGAGGTCGCTCTGAGTGATCTCTCATCTAGGGAAGAGCCTTATTGGGAAGATTGCCTTCACCCTTCACACTTATCTGAACAGACTTGGGCCCGGTTGGGCCGTGGGATGACCCCGCCACAATATTGTGTCTCATATGCCACACAGCTAAAGACTGAGTGTCATATGGGACACAGACACACTACATTTTCCATCTTCCACAAGGGCGGGTGGGATAACAAATTTATATTCAAACAAATGATACATAGTAAAGTTGGAATACCGTACATACGCTGTACACTAAGTTTTCAGCCCTTAAAATTCTACTACATGTGCATGCAGCAGGAACATGAGGAATAGCCTGCCCATCTTCAAATAATGCGATACACACGCGGGTACACCCATGTATAAGGACCGTAGTGTATGGGATATTGTTATATTGTGTCCTTTACATGCACATACTGCAATTTCATTGGTCGAGAATGGCCACGTGTTCAGTCTGTAAAAATGCATTCAGTGGCTAACCTCGTGAATGTTGCCTGTGCGCGCGTGTAGCAGACTTGTATTCAAGTCACGAAACATCGAGTCCAAGTCCAAGTCCGAGTCACATTTCTCGAGTCCAAGTCCGAGTCCCGAGTCCTCCAGGTCGAGTCCGAGTCACGAGTCACAAAGGTCGAGTCCAAGTCCGAGTCACGAGTCACCTCTAACATTGTATTGGAAATTCAGAGATTCAGAGTCACCTTTGATATAGTAAAAGGTGGCGATCGAAGTTTGACGTAGTGCTGGTTTTCTCCTCTATTTTCCTCTTGCAGAACTTGCATACTGCACTTGATCTTCCATTGGCTTTTCTCTTGAAGTTAAGATACCCAAAATTGACAATTTTTGGAGTGGATGCCATCATAATCTACGTTGCAACTTGCATGTAACGTTACCGAAACGGGCAGATCAGCAGACTATTCATATCGCGTTATCGTGATGCGACAGCAATGCACGTGTGAACGACAGGACGTCTGACAAGAAAAGTCTGGTACCTTACCCTATCAATCTTGCACCAATGCAGTATTACGTGCGGACGGCGGGGTACAAGTTTCGGTACATTGATTTCTTTAATCAATATATCAGTAACCGGTCACAGCCACGCACGCACCGCGTCGAGGCCCTGTACATGTATTGCACATTAAAGAAAACGATCGACTTACGTATTTGTGCGTGTGCAGTGCGGTAATTTCCGCACAAGTCAGTTCGAGTCCAAGTCCGAGTCCGAGTCGTAAGACAAAGTGACTTGAGTCCAAGTCCAGGTCATTAAAAATGTGACTCGAGTCGGACTTGAGTCCGAGTCACGAGTCATACAAGTCTGGCGTGTAGAACCTGCACGCATGCTTGCAACTAAGAATCCTATGAACTTGGACAATGGACAATAAAGACAATAGGGCTGCAGGAACAAAATATTTAAGGTAAAAAGAGGTAAGGCTTTTCTTTGGCAATTTGTAGAATTACTTGCATTTTCTTCTAAAACTCTCTTCTAGTTTTTGTTTAATTTTGACGCTTTGGTCCAATTTTTCTGACTCTCTGTCTTGTGTCACAATTATTTTAACATATTTTGTTTTGTTTTGTTTTCTTTTGTGCATTGAAGGAACTACCATTTGTACAACAATGTTTTCATGCAGCTTGTTCTTTACTTCTTTGTGTTCCTGGACCTAATGCTAGCGCTGTTTGAGGAACCCGCACTGGACAACCTAGGCATGCCATATTGGGTAAGTAAATGTCTTTATTAACCAATTGCCAGGTTAATGTACAATCAAGGCAAGCAGTGACAACTGATGATGCACTTTTTTGTCAAAGCAACACAGACTATTTTCTTTTTAGAATATTCTGTGTTTCTGATTAAAAGCTACAGTCCATCATTTGCAGCTATACAAAAAGTGACGTAGTTATTGCTGAAAAACATACTTGGTTGAAAAATAGTAAGGGACTAAACTCCCTGTGAAATTATTCGTTCTGGCAAGCTGTCATTTTGACGAAATCAACGAAAGAAGGCCTTTCCAATGGTGCGTTTTAAGGCGCAGCGTTGGAAATTTCCGTTAGTAGTTTATGTTTTTTATTCGGCGAAGCGCGCACAAGCGTTGACCTGATGCACACGCGCGTGCGGTTGCTATAATTTGTCGGATCAGTGCGCGACATCGTGTACCGATAGCTGCAATCGGCTCAGTGAGAACGTGTCTCGGACGCTGAATTCAGGCCCAATTCAAAACATGATTCAGCAACTTTTGATTTGAAAATCGAGATCCTAGAATGCTGTTTTTCTCGAAATGTACAGCTAAAGCTGAGCTGAAACATCATCAGGTTAATTGTTCAGCACCCTTCTTTAAATTTTGACCACGTTTGTTGCTTCAAACAAACAAAATGCACAAATTACAAATGATGGACTATAGCATTAACTCTAGATAGTCGAATCTGCAAAACCAGTTGGTACTGAGGTCATACCACGACCATACAGGTGCATGCCGCCTGTAGTATTGGATAATGCCACAAGAGGTTGTTATCACAACCACTCACTATCACGCACGAACCGCTATCACAATAACGTCTCGGGAATCCAGTAACATTTGCCCCTAAAAATGGAGGAAACTCTAACTTCTGCGGGCAAACACGGTCCCTTTTTCAGTCGCACGTGTAATACATACGAAAAAAGTGCTGCTACGGCCAAGTTTGGGCAAGGACCATTAGTCGATTGGTGAGGTACCTTACGCCTGCGCACAAATAGCAACGTGTGAATGTCTCTAGTCAAACGCTGGCCAAAATGTCATCGCGCAAAACTTCTGGATCCTGGATCCCTGCTGTACCATACGTCATGAATGCAGGCGGCTATTGGTTACCCGCAATGCAACCAGCCCCAGTAGGTTGGTTCCAAATAGTCGACTAGCGTAGTCAACCACCGTCGACCAGACAGAGTTCGGGCTAACTTTAGTTGAACTATGGTTAACCAATGGTCAACAATAGTTCTTGCGCGAACTTGCCCAAAGATGTTGCACAAAAGTCAGGTAACATCTTGTACATGTACAAGCTGAAATTTCGGAGTTTGGTTCAGAGCTAATAAGCAAGGTGTTTAACGTGTGCTGCATACATTATAGGCAGAACAGGTGCGGGCATGACACGACTGCTACAAGATTCGCAAGACGTGATAGCGGTTCATTTTGATAACGCCCTCTTTCGGCGGCATATTGCGTACCCTATACACAACACTTGTAACAACAACATCTTGACTAGTCAAATATCGTTACATTTTGTAAATTTTGGGCTCAAATATGCGTTGTGGCAAACCTGTTTGTGAAGGAGTATTAAATGCATGCACCTGCAAACAAGCTTGGTCCCACCTCAGATACCGGTATGGCTGCTTGATTGCCAGATAAGTCTATATTTCATTGGTTGTTTTCAAAGTTGAAGCATACCTTTTTTAATGTAAAACTCCAAAGAACTAAGCACTCACATGAAAAATTGCTAGCTTAACAGTTGTCTCCAACCAATTTTTATATACGATAAACAATATCATAGGTAATACTTACGAAGAGCTTTGTAGCAAGAACTTAGAAAAAATGTTGTAACACTACCAAGCTATACAGTGTATAGTATGAAGCGCTAAAGATGGCAAATTGCCCATTCATTATCTTGGGTCTCAGTCAGGACTTGAACATGTTTGGACATTTATATATTTTTTTGACACTATCATAGCATTACTGAAAATGGCCTACATGTATACAAAGTTGTAGTTTACCCAATGTTGAAACTAGTGAAAGTTAACAAGTAAAGAGTTTCATTTTGTCGCAAAGTTGTGTTTTTTCCCCTCATTGCTTGGTTATTCCTGACCAAAATACATATTTCAGAAAACGTTGGAGTCACTGTTTCCCTCAAGTGTTTGTATTTTTTTTCCTGACATGCACAGAGCACCCAGTTGCTTGAGTTGGCCTGCCTGTCCTACTTTGTCTTTCGAATGGCACACCATCGATCTTTCACCCCACGAAAAGTATGGTGGACGGACGCCAAAAACATCTTGTTGGTGATTGCCATTGTGGTAAGTTCAGTGTCAGTGAAGTTAAGTCTGTAACGAGCCAGTATATGGCCCGTCAGGTCAGCGTTTGTCTCTGCCTTGCCATGAAATGACTGAGAATATTTCTATATGGGGTGCCAGTCCATCGCAGGTTACTCCCTAGCTAATACTGGTACCCATTTATGCTCCTGAGGGAAGAGAGGCAAGTGGGGGTGAAGTGGCTTGCCCAAGGGCACAATATATGGCCAGTAACTGATTCGAACCCCTGACCCTCTGATCATGAGTCACGAACCCCTAGGCCACGCTCCCCCAATTACGGTGTAAGTGTTGCGTGATTTTTTGAAAATGAATGTTGCAAAAAGATTCCGTAGTTTCCTTGTCCGTGAAATGTCATAGAAGAGTCTTCAAAGATCTTTTGACACCTCTGTTTTAAAAAAAAAATAAACCCAGTAAGTCCCCAAAAAAACAACTTCTGCTTCCGGTTACCCCCCCCCCCCAAAAAAAGTGACACTCAAGGCGTTTCACAGAAGTACAAATACGTATTTTCCATGTTCATGAAATTATTTCGAGGGCGTACTACTCGTATTTGTAGTGATACGATGCAGCATTTTTCCCCCCGAAGTTTCCTACCGTAAAAACAAGGTTCGTCGCCCGCCACAGACAGTGCATCATAAACGATTATACCGCGTGATTTACGAACAGTGTTGGCCAGTTTCCCGTCATGACTAGCATTGTGCATATGGTGTGCACGACCTGAATTTTCAATTATTTTAAAGAATTATCGACCGTAAATATTTTGACAATAATCAAGGTAAGTTTTAATTACTTTTGTGGCCTTTTTTTTTCACAGCTTTCGTAGTGCAATAGAAATAGTTCAGGCTGAAATTCGCATATAATTGAATACCCCAGTCAAACAGCACAAAAAAAATTGGCAAAAAAACCAGAAATTTTCGATCTACCGACCCTGTTTTTGAAAGGCATGTATAAATCGGAAGCAGAACTATTTTTTTTTCGGCCTAATATGGCTCCAAAGTGTCAATCTAAAGAACGCTGATACGAAGAATACTAATATTGATTTTATACATGTATGTGTTTAGCACACATACCAACCAAACAGGTTCTCAGGGCATGGGACATTATTACTACCCAGCTCATCGGGCCAATGAAAACAAGCCAATGACCATCTCAGCTCCCTGGGGAATATATAGCTTCATGCTGCCACACATCACACCAATCTTCATAGACCGTCATTGGTTGCTCATTAAACAGTAAACAATACACAATTCTCCTGCTCACCTCAAGACCCTCAAGGGACAAGCACTGAGCTATATCAGGACCTGCTCAGTCCATATACGACCCTACAAGAACTCTTTGGTCGTCTCATCAAGGCCTCTTCACAACAATACCCAGAACCAGTCATATCGCTTCCGGGCATTTTCACACACTTCACCTAGTTTGTGGAATGTCCTTCCAACCTCCCTTCGAACTGTGGACACTTTGGACCAGTTAGTTCAAATCCACCCTCAAATCTCCCCTACTTCACCTGGCTAAAATATTAACTTATTGTAAACTTGTTCCAAGTTTTTGGTCATCACTTCATGTCTATTTGTAAAGCGCATTGAGATTTCTTACTGTTATGTTTTGCGCTCTATAAAAATGAACACTAATTATTTATTATTATAGGCGCAACTGGCTAGTAATCAAACACACAACCATCTCTGCCCTCACAGGTGCCCAGTTACTCCTGGGTGGGGAGAAGCAATGAGGGACAAAGTGTCTTGCGTTGCACTATAATCCCAGGCTGGACTCGAACCTACAACCTGTAGAGTTATCCACAAGATCATAGGTTCAATGCACCAGACCACAAAGCACGGCATTCCACTTTTTAATATTTTCATTAGTACACTTCAGACCTCAAAATTTGGCTTAACCTCATCACAGGAACAAGTGCTCGTTTTCTGCACTGATCCTCACAATCTCAATAAACCATTTTCATATCGTCATTTTTCAAAAGTACGTGTAGTACTTGGATTCTTTTCATTTGGATTGCTGATACAAATGTGAACCATCTTTCATTTTATATAATAAAAGTTTGACTTCCGAGTCACATTTGACAAACTGCTTATTTACAACATGCAAAGTCAATGTTACCTACATATGTAAGCACCTTATTTTTGTTGTTCTTCCTTAGATGATGTTAGTGGATATGCTTGTTGTCACCATCCTTGTGGAAACGGGAGTTATGGAGAAAGTCTTCCGCTGGTCCCGATTGTTACGACCTCTCTTCCTGGTCAACTTCCCTGAAATGAGAGAGGTGAGTTTGCTTTGGTTGCATTCTTATATAGTTACTTGGGCCTAATGAAATTTGCTGACCACAGGTCAAAGGCCACTCTGGGTGATGGCTACAAAGAAAGAAACATCAGTGTTCCCACAGTCATGGAAAAATCCTCATCATTGTCGATTTTGAGGCCGTTGTCCAGTCTGTTCTGGTTTGGCCTGCTTTCTTTCTATGGCTCCTCTCCACTTGGCCCTGTCCATTGTGTTTCTTGCATTGACTCCCTCGACTATGTTGGTAAACCTCTTGACCCAGCTGGCATCATCCTTTCTCTCCACGTGACCATACCACCTCAGCCTGTGCCTCCTCAACACGATACCGATCCCCTCCACTCCAACTCTCCTCCTCAACTCCTCACTTGACAGCCTGTCAGCCAGAGACACTCCACACATCCACCTGATCATTCTCATCTTCGCTCGTTCCAACGGCTGGTCATGCCCCACCCTAGTGGGCCATGTCTCACAACCGTACAGCATGCAGCTCTGGACAAAGGCAGTGTATACCAGTACTTGACCCTTCATGGAAAAATCCTGGAATTTAAAAAACTAGTACGGAAAGTCATGGAAAAAGTCATGGGATTTTGTTATTTTACAAATGTCTGGTATGCAGAGCGCTTTGCTACAAAATGAAATGGCTGTCAATCAAAAACTCTTGCTGTGAAGCAGGGCTCCCATAGTCATGGAAAAATCCTGTAATTTAAAAAACTAGTATGGAAAATCATGGAAAAGTCATGGGAATTTGTTATTTTACAAATGTCTGGTATGTAGAACGCTTTGCTACAAAATATAATGGCTGTCAATCAAAAACTCTCGTCTGTGAAGCAGGGAAAAATCCTGGAATTTAAAAAACTAGTATGGAAAGTCATGGAAAAGTCATGGGATTTTGTTGTTTTACAAGGAGTTATGAAAAGTTGATGTTCCAAGTACGGTAAAAGTCATAAAAAAGTCATGGAATCCTGCACAGTTGTAGTGGTCTTCGGAACCTTAATTTGTACAATGAAATGCTAGGAAGGCGGTGACAGGATGCCTTATAGGTGTTTGGTGACGTGTAAGTTTACCCTGAAAAAGGACTGGAATGGCTGTGAGGGGAGGTGGAGGCCATCTTGTTGATGATAATGCAATCTGCATTGACCTTTTTGTCTGTGTGACCAGTGTATTGCAAATACTGGTAGATTCCTAAGATGCCAAAACAGAGTTGGAATTGGCCATAGAAAGCCCTAATTTTGTCCTCGAGTTTCTTAAGATTTCTGTGGGAACCATGAACATGCTGTTGAAGAGAATGGAGTCTGCTGGCATTTTGCTCTTTCTTTATTTCTGTCTTTGTAACTGCTAAGGGGTTACTTGTGTACTGCGTCAGAGATTTTTAAACAAGTGGGTCAGAGACATCTGGGCCAAATTTTTGGCTCTGCTTACCGTTAGTGAAAAATCCCTGCTTACTGTAGCAGGAAATTCTGTGCTTATGGCAAGTGTATTTCATGGATTCGTGAGGAAATTTGGCTTGTGCGTATGGTACATCCTTGTGTACCCGTAAGTATTGATTCTGTGCTTACAGGGTTAGCACCATAGAGCTATATTAAATTACTAAAGCACTGACTCATGTACAAAGTGATGCCTGCTGGGCGCATCCATGTTTGTACACAAACCTATAGAAAACTCGAAAATTTGTACGGCTTTTGTACGGCTATTTGCATATCTGCCTTTGTATTCTATACAGCTGCGTTATCAAAGCTGATATGCCCAATACCGCAATGCATGATCAGCAAATGAGCATTTTATTTGCTCTACGCAAACAGCTCAATGCATGCGCGTCTCGGCTGCAGATGATTACCGTGACATTTTTTTTACCGTAATGAAGCGCTTAGTTGTTTGCGTACCTTCTACTTAATACGCGTTGCATTTAGAGTACACTTTAAAAATTCAATCCATCTAATTTCATTATGTTCTAGAACACGCACATGAATTCAAAATGTCTGCGCCCAGGACGGCTTCAAAGCGTCTCCGCACAAGAATGAGGAGTTATCGCTCTAGTAATTTAATATAGCTCTATGGTTAGCACCGACTGTTTATGCTAGCACGGTTAGCACAAAGTGGTGATCGTAGGTGCAGAATTCTGTGGTTACCAGAGCCATGAAATTGGGCACTGATATGCTTTACTTGGTAACTCATCTCTCTGCAGATCAGGCGTTCATTCCGCAACATCCGTCGCTCTTTACCTGAGATCTTCGCTGTTCTGGTACTACTGTTTCTCTTTCTTCTCTTGTTTGCATTGCTGGGACGTGAACTCTATGCTGACGAGTAAGTTATTTAGTTTCCAAAAAAAGAAGAAAAAATGGGTATTATTTTGGCCAAAAATTAAAGGATGGAAAAGGCAGAAGTATTAAAATAATGGCTGTTTAAGCAAGATTTGAACAGAAATTTGTTTTTTTTAAATCCCTCATTATCACAATGAATCCCCCTGAAAAGAGGAAACTAGAGCCCATGTGCTACATTGTACTTCTGCAGGCAAATTTACGTTCCATTTTTGGTCAAACACGTACTACATACGACACAAGAGTCGCCATGAAATCGCACAGAAAACCTGATAGCGTCTTGTATGCTACTGGCTACAAAATTTTGGAGTTTGGTTTGGAGCTTAGGGGCCATTCAGAATTTTCAATGTTTTAAAATTTCGATCTTTTTGTCAAATTGTGGGTGGGTGGGTCAAGCTAAATAATTGAAAATCGAAATTCACTTTCCATGGAAAAAGGATTAAAAAAAAACAAAGAAAGATAGATCTTTTGACTTGCCTGAACAACGCGCAAGCGTTCCGATATCGCGATGCGTGTTTCTTTTCCAACTTGGTCCCCTGTATGTACTGTACATGTACGTCATGTACGTGTATATAGACCCACTGTGGCATGAGAGGGAGGTGGTTTTCAGTAGACTTGGATGCCGGGCGTATCTAGTGGTTAGGCCGTGCAGAGGCAGCAGGGTACCAGGTGTACTAGATCGGCTCTATAACACACCGCGGGTGTCGATTACCAATCGCTATAAAAACTGGACTATACAACCACTGGACTCCAAGACTACGAGGACCGCAGCCTGTGATGTGATGACTGCCCAAACCTGATGTTTTTCTTTCGCTCGTACCCCCGCCCTGCAAACAGGGCAGGGGGTACGAGGGAATGTTTTTCTCAGCTACCTCACGTGACAGGCACAACCTCGTATGTCACATGTCATCCACCTCATCCAGAAATAGCCCCATAAATGTGGCCAATTTACTGGACTGCCTCCGTAAATAAAGGCCACACTGCCACCATATACAAAAACATGTCAAACTTTGTCAAATTTTGATTTTCACATTTAGGCTTAGTTTGTAGTTCATTTTTGCTTTAGAAGCATACTCACCCCTTTATAGGCTAATTAGAAAGTGCTGCCTTTTTCAGATGTCTATTTTTCGTAAAATTTCATGTTGAAATTTTGATACGCAAACGTGTGCAAACGAATCTGGAAAAGACTGCTACAAGATTCCCAAGATGTTGTTGTGATAGCAGTTCGTGGGTGATAGCGGTTCATTTTGTTAGCGCCTTCTGTCAGTGTATCCGATTTCTTGACCCAATACTAGTACGCCTCCATACATGTAAACACCTCTATACCAAACACTTCGCTACTACGAACATCCGTTTTGGCTCCAAAAGTGTCATGCACAAAGACCACTATTCCAAAGAACCTTTTGTAGACCCTATTCGTTCATTATAGGGAAGCTCCACTGTAACCTTAAAAAAACAGGTACTGTAAGGCCAAAAAAAAAAATAAGTCGGTCTCTGGTCAGCGCGCGCGTCGATTTTAATCATGCGCGTCAACCATTTTTTTTCTTCAAATTGTCCGCGGTAGCTACAGCAGCGCCCTCTATTGCCGCACCTCCTCAAATTTTTGTACCAAGGAATGGGGAAATTGCACCAAGGCAAATGATGGAGGGCACCAAGGCAAAATATGGAGGTCCCCAATGTATATGAGGACACAACAAAAGCAATATAGTACCCACCTTGTCTGTACAATCCAAGCTTCCAAAAAAAAAAAAAAAAGGCCAAAAAAAAAAAAAAAAAAACGCGTCGCCGCATCAATTCTGGAACTCTGGTCTGACCAGAGACCAAATATATTTTTTTTGGCCTAACCTTTAAAAACAGGTACTTGCAGCAAAATCAGATTTTATATGTTGTGATGTACAGTGTGTCTTAAAAAAAAAATGCTAACAAAATATAATAGAATGCCAGACGTACAGTGTGTAACCAACATGGATCATATACATGTAGGTATGGTTTGAAAGATATGCCTTTCAACCTTAAAATGAGACATCAAACGCCCAAATTTGATAAGCTTTGACAGAGTTGTGAGTAATTTTCCAAGAGAGGTCAAATACACCATGGGACCTAGTTTTCAATTTTAGGCATTGGGACAAAAAGGTAGCCTAATTGCCTCTGTGTGGATAATTGCCTGGCCTACAAAAAATGTGTTTAGCGAGTAAACACAATTCTAAACACTTTCTTGCTGCAGTTTACATGCTAAATATTTTTAGCATGAGGACGGATAGTGTTTAGCCATTGAAAGTTGATGTTTAGGAATTGAACATGTGTGTTTAGCTGGTAAACATGTTTACAAACTACCGGTAATAGCATGAAAAGTGTTTACTTGCTAAACACAGTTTTTTTCTTGAAACCTTGGTCCCATGGTCCATTTGACCTCTCTTGGAAAATTACTCATACCGGTAACTCTTTCACAAATTATCAGATTGGACGGTTGATGTCTCATTTTGAAGTGGCAAGGCGTATCTTTCAAACCATACCTAATATCTATGTTGGTTACTCATTCTTTGCTGGCATTCCGTTACATTTTGTTTGCATTTCTTTTTGAGACACACTGTATATTGCAACAAACTATGTTTTACTTTGTCAATTAAAATCTATTTACTTAAAGCTGATCTTCTCCAAAGTCTTCTCACCATTCAGTTGTAAATATATCATAGTATAACTTCAAATGATGTCTTACGTCATTGCCGTTTGTTTTGTTTTCCTTTTGAACAGTAACTTGCAGGAGGTCTTATCGACAGAGAAATACTTCGTTGATTATTTTGAAAATATCTGGGAGCTTTACATTCTTGTGACTACTGCCAACAGCCCTGATGTCATGTAAGTCTGCTAAATAATGCATTCCCAAATGAAAGGTGCTCATGGACATGTAACATCTTTCACCAATATTTTGCTTTCTAACTTATTAGTCCTTGTACTGCCCCCCCCAAAAAAACATGCTCGTTACTCCCCGTACCAACCTACATTGTAAACTGCCCCATGCTGTCCCATTTATACATTCATCACGGAATTAATAGGGGAATAAATATGCGCTTACCTACATTGTAAACTTCCCCATGCTGCCCCATTTATACATTCATCACGGAATTAATAGGGGAATAAATATGCGCTTGGCCGGTTTTACACAAGTACGTTAAAAACCGGGTTGGGCATGTTGGGGCCTGGACGTAGATCATTAGCAGTGTCCAGGCCCCTAGCCTAGAGCACACTTGTTTAATACCGGCCAAGCATACCGTATATGTATTCCCATTCATACCTTTCGGTCGAAAAGTCAAAACAAGTCCAAAATTCACAAATGTACAACAGTTTTGTTCAACTATTTTACTTCATGTTTTGTGAAACACCCCTCTGGCCATGTGTATGGTATGTGCCTCACGCGCATAGTGCTAAAAATGTCCTTATATGGAAATTGGCGCATGCGCACGGCACATTCTGCGTGATGTGGCGCAGAACGTAGTGGTGTTTTACTGGCCGTTTAAAACCACCCACCTGATGACGGGCTCTCGACCAATAAGAATTAGTAAACTGTCTCAGGTATTTATGAATGCAATGTAATATATTGTTGTACAGGTTAAATTTTATCTTCTAGTTTCAGACTGACAGGAGTAATCTTTTTACAAAAAGCAACAAAACAAGTGAAACTCTCATTTAGGGACTGTGACACATGCATTGTGGTTTCCCTAAGATGTACATGTAAGGAGCATAGTTAGCAATTTGTTTGATATTTGTAATCAAATATTGGGATTTTGGAACTTGTTTTTTATCCACATGTAGGATGCCAGCTTACGATGCCAATGGCTTCTACATGATCTTCTTTGTTGTCTTTGTCTTGCTCTGTAACTACATCTTCATGAGCATCTTTCTTGCTGTCATCTACAAGAACTATCGCAAACATTTAAAGGTAACTGAGACTGATAAATTTAAGAACAAATGCAAAATTTCATCTTCTTCACCAGTTTATAGTTATCTTGTGCATTTTGCTGTAAAGAATAAGCATTATTAATGAATTTATGAAGACCAGTTCATACTTTATAGTGATTATCAATGCAAAGTAAATTTCTAGTGTCAACCCCTCGGCAAATATCTCAAAATCACAAGAAGCAAAATAAGTAGATCAATCACTAAATGACGGTTCGTGCTCCATGCTAGGCAAATTAACTCTAACCCTGCCAGACGTAACTGGGCATTTGGTGTTAAAGACTGTGGGACCTTGCTGCATTGAGCTATCAACACCATTACATAAATGGCCCTTCTGAAACACTGCAGTTGTATCCTGCTGCAGTTGTATCATGCCGCAGTTGTATCCTGCTGCAGTGGTATCCTGCTGCAGTGGTATCCTGCTGCAGTGGTATTGTGCTGTGACCTGGTAACCACTGACTCTGAGACAGTTTGGCCTTGGGATTTTTTACCTGATTGATCTTGCTGCACTGAACAGGCTTGTCATTTTGACCTATTGATCTTGCTGCACTGAACAGGATTGTCATTTGACCTGATTGATCTTGCTGCACTGAACGGGCTTGTCATTTTGACCTATTGATCTTGCTGCACTGAACAGGATTGTCATTTGACCTGATTGATCTTGCTGCACTGAACGGGCTTGTCATTTTGACCTATTGATCTTGCTGCACTGAACAGGATTGTCATTTTGACAAGTGCTGCATTTTGCTGCATTTAGCAGGGTTTCTAGCCAAATATCCTTGGATGCCAGGGCTAAAGGTAAAAATTTGACATCAACAGCCAATATTCAAATTCGCAAAAATTAAAAACATGTCAGATCCAGCACATTTCACTGCTCCACAGTGTTTAACAACCGAATGTGCTTTTCATTTTCATTTGTGTGAACCTGCCTGAACTGGTCATTTTTTCTCTTGGCAGAGGTGGCAGCAAGTCATTTTTTGCAAGTCCAAGTCAAGTCACAAGTCCTTGTTTGCAAGTCCAAGTCAAGTCACAAGTCATTAGGTCCAGTCACAAGTCAAGTCACAAGTCATTAGGCCCAGTCACAAGTCAAGTCACAAGTCATTTGGTCTAAACACAAGTCAAGTCACAAGTATCTTTGTCCAAGAACACGTCAAGTTGCACATTATTTTGTCCAGCTGTAATAAGCTAAAAGAACCTGGCGTCAACTTACGATTTATTTTGAACATGCCTCCTTAATTCCCCCTTTTCAATGTGTTGCAATAACTATTCTTGTAGTTTATCACATATCTGTTGGATATTAGCCCTTTGTATACTTTAATAAATTTACTTAACATTGTAGAGATAAATGTTGAGATGACATGAAAAAATACTTCACTCACTCGATTACATGTAGTGTACTAACACTTTATTGTTCAATTTTCATGTATACTAAACGCCGACCAATGTGTTAGGCTATCCGGTATTTTACATGCAATTGACAAAGGCCTGCTTTCTTTTCATGAAAGGTTCCTTTCAAAGTTTGTTCAACCATTACATTAAGCAAGAGACTTGGTCATTGAAAACTATAGTTTGTTGTGACAGTCTTATTGAAAACTTTTGAAACTAGTGGGAACTATTCATTTTACTGGATTCAGTCACTGAGGTCTATTTTCTGGAATGAAACTTTCTCGCTGCAACTATAAACTGCATTTATAAACACCTTGAGTGGCCTTTTTGGGCCTTGTGTTGGGCGACTTCAATTGAAAAAAATCTATTTTTTCATGTACAAACTGTTACACTTCAAATAAACAAGATTTGATAGCATAGTATCACTCAACTTTGCTCTGTGTGGCCTCATAATTATTCCTCCATGACTGAATACACGTTTGATGGGGGAGCTAGTAGCAGGAACAGACAGCACCCTCATAGCAAGAGGAAAGAGTCTAGGGAGGCTGTTCTTATTTACCAACCAGAAGTGCACGCAACGTAACAGCTCAGCTCACTGATATGATCTACAGCTGCAGCTGGGCGAAGTAGAAACCGCGCAAGCCAAAGTCCGTTTTTTAATGCACGTAAGGCGTAAACCGAATAGCTAATTAAAAGTATAATTTTAATTAAAGTGTATTGGGTCGCTCGAGTAGCGTCTGACTTGGGTTGGTAATAAGTTAATTTTTTGCAATCCCAAGTCAAGTCACAAGTCATTGTTTGCAAGTCCAAGTCAAGTCACAAGTCAAAGCTGGTATTTGCAAGTCAAGTCACAAGTCACAAAAATAGCGACTCGAGTCTGACTCGAGTCCAAGTCACATGACTCGAGTCAGCAACTCTGTCTCTTGGGGATTATGTCATTACTTGTGAGGACTAATTTGACAATTTTGGGAAAATTTGTATTTTTAAGAATTCTGTCCATAGAAATAATAGTTTCCTTTCAGAGTCTTTGTTGTTAAGCATGTCATAGCTTGTGAGGTCATCGCAACGTCTTCATTCAACGTTGTGGCTAAATCCCTCCGCTCACATGACCACCTTTTGGGTGGTCACGTGAGAGCAAGCTACGTCATGCTTAGCAAGCTACGTCATGCTTAGCAAGCTATGTCATGCTTAGCAAGCTATGTCATGCTTAACAAAACAGACTCTGAAAGGTAACCATTATTTCTATGTCATTATGACAGTGTTCAGTTTTAGTCTCCGCGCTGCATTTCTGTTCATGTTTTTTTTTTTCTTTACTCAGAATGAAGTGCAGACCTCGGTGTTCTTGAAGCGGAGGAAGTTGGCCAAGGCCTGGGGCATCCTGTGTGTGACCCATGACAGCAAGTTTGTCCTGACGTGGGAGCGATGGCGGGCGGTCATGGGATACGTCCTCCCCAAGCACAGCCCAATGGAAGTCAAATTGCTGTGGAAAGTACTGGACGATGATGACGACGGCTTCATTGGTGAGTTGCAACCTATGGACTCCGTGCACGAACAGTAGTTGGTGCTTTTTGACTACGTATGACAGCTCTTTGTTAAGCACACAAGACCATTGGTTCGTGAGCCTAGGGTGGGAAGTACAAACGAGTAATTTGCTATTTAAGGGTGCGTTCATTTTACTCACTTGGGTTGACACGGGTAAAAGCAGATGGGTCAGCTACAACAGCCAGGCTAATTGAACGCTCAACCATGGGCAGTCATGATCCTCATGTGACGCCCTTAGCCGTGGCCACCGACAAAGTGCCCATTCAGATCGGGACTTGGCTTGAGATTTACTGCATTTCAGTCAATTGCAAAACTCAAAATAGTTGGGCTGAATTTATAGCCTCCAAAGTTGCAAAGAACTCAATCAATGATTACCTTTAGACTTCAAATAAAATCACCTTTAAAGTCCACTTGAGATATCCGCTGTGCCCGGCCACCATTTTTGTCCGTTTCTAAGGAATAAACAAAGCATGTGTGATGTGCTTCCACCAGTGACTCTGCTCCACGACCAGGGTTTGTGGAGGCTGACCCACCTAGGTGAGCCCCAAGAATTACGTCGTAGCTAATTGAACAGCACGGGGCTATAATAATAACTGGATTTGTATGGCGCCAAATTGCCAAAGGATACAAGGCGCTAGAAAAGAAGAAAGAGGAATAGAAGACAAAAAATAACAAAAGAAGGACATCCAGCTACGTTTTGGGGAAAGGTACATGTACGTCTTGAGAGCCTTTTTGAAGGAAAAGACACCGCCTGAGTTTCTGATGGAGATGGGCAGGTTGTTGGGGGGCGGCAACAGAGAAGGCCCTCTCACCAGCCAGTTTACGTAACTTTGGGATGACAAGAGACTCACAAGCAGAAGTATGAAGGGAGTAAGAATCTTTTGGATTTTGAGAAGAGAGGAGAGATAATCTGGTGCAGAGTGTTTAAGTGACTTGTAAGTGTGAACCAGTGTGCGAAACTGAATGCGGTCGGCGACCGGGAGCCAGTGTAGTTGTTTGAGCAGAGGAGAGGTATGGGTGTGTTTGGGGGTCTGAAAGATTAAGCCTTGCACATCTGTTTTGAAGTCTCTGAAGACGAGATATTTCTTTCTTAGAGACTCCGTTAAGAAAGCAGCTGCAATAGTCCAGTTTTGAAAGAATCAGGGCATTGTGGCAGGCATTGATGTCAAGAAATTTCCTGATCCGGCTAAGGTTGCGTATGTGCCAGTTGAGAGAGCGACAGAGTTGTGTTATGTGGTCAGACATTTTCATGTTGTGGTCACACCTAAATTTCTGACCGAGAGAGAAGGGTGAATTTCAATGCCATCAAGGTTGAAAGTGAAATGTTGGAGATGTTTGAAGTGAGCAGGAGAAGACGCAATGAAGAACTCCGTCTTATCTGGATTCATCCGGAGTTTATTAGAGATCATCCAAGATTGAAGCTCTTGGACACACTGGGACAATCGAAACAGCGCACAGACAGCGTCTCCTGGCTGGATGGGGTCAAAGGTCAAGAACAGCTGGACATCATCTGCATAAATGTGGTATTGTATGGAATGTTGACGGGCTATTTGACCAATAGAGTGGGTGTAGTAAGTGAAGAGCTGTGGACCAGTGACAGATCCCTGAGGAACACCATATTTGAGATTGGCTTCAGCAGAGAGCGCCTCCCTCACAAGGACTTGACTCGTTCTACCCCTCAAGTACGAACGGAACCAGCTCAAGACAGTACCCTCCAGACCAAAGTCGTGACGGAGACGTTGTAAGAGGACACTGTGATCAACTGTATCAAATGCTGCCGACAAGTCAATCGTGATGAGGAAGTCGCCTCGCTTGGAGTCAATAGCTCGAAGGACAACATCTTGAACTGTGAGGAGAGCAGTTTCAGTGCTATGTGTGGGCCGGTAAGCAGACTGCAAAGGCTCGGACAAGTTATTGGAATGGACGAAGATGCAACCTGTGAGGAAACGCTAACCCGAGTCGACCCGCTTGAGCTAAACAAACGCACCCTAAAACTTGCGCAAACCTGTAACTTCTCCGTGTGAGTGTACAGTGTCATTGCATACAAGTGTCTGTCCATTTGTGATGTCAGTGGTCTCTCCCAGCTTTTTCTTTGCCCCCGTTGAGGGAGTACTTGTGCATGGAGTCCATTAAACCCAAGACTTTATATAATTTATTCATTGTTATAGATTCTATGCATGAACGGTAGATGGCTTTTCAGAACCACTTGGAGAGCTCTGAGAGAGACACACATTACGTGTGCACACAGCCTTACATACATACATGAACTTGTGGGGAAGACCTTTTCTTTCCCTTCTTTTGCTCTCCTGTGTTCCTATTAGAATCTCAAACTCCTTAGCGTTTCCCTTATGAGGCAGATAGATTGCCAAAGACTTCCTTGTGGGGTTTATTCTATTGTGTTTACTGCCCCATGCAGAACAATGTACATGTGCACACCCACATGCGGATGGCGCAAAGCACACAGTTTATTTTTATTAGAATGTGCATGAACCCATATCATCTTCACGCGAGGGCAAGGTTTACATGCTAACTCTTTTTGAAACGGAATGAAGCTATACTCAATTGTGCATGTGGACCACACTCCCAATCCTTCAAATCCACCTAAAGATTAGGGACGTGTGTCGGAGCTAGGTTCCCAAGTACCTGACCGCTGATGTCCGGAACCGCTTCTAAATTTACGGATCAGGTACCGGTATCCGTAACCAACTTTTCAAATTACTTAGTAACTTCTCAGGCAATGAAAAAGAAGGGTTTTGAATGTCATTTGTGCGGAATTTTCAAAAATGACAACCGAGCTGCATGTACATGGAAAAACTAATCAAGTTTATGACGGTCGTGAAAGTTGCAGTCTTCACCATAAGCTATGAAGCTCACTGTACACACATGAACTGCTGCATTGACGCACTAGTGGTAAATGGCGTGGGGCTTTATGAACAATCTGAACAGAACTTTCAGAGATTTGAATTGGGGATTGGGTTTCTTTAAAGCTATAGTCCATCATTTGTAATTAGTGCATTTTGTTCGTTTGAAGCAACAAAAGTGTTCAAAATCTAATGAAGGATTCTGAACAACTTACTTGATGAAATTTCAGCTCAGCTTCAGCTTCATATTCCGAGAAAAACAGCATTCTAAGATCTCAATTTAAAATCAAAAGTTGCTAAATCATGTTTCGAATTGTTTTGAATTGCAGCTTTACGCAATGTTGCGCACTGATCCAACGAATTATAGCAACCGCGCACGCCTGTGCGTCGTTCCAATGCTTGTGCGCGCTGCGCCGAATAACAAAACGAACAACTAATTTAAATTTTCCTACGGTGCTTCTTAAGAAGCACCGTTGGAAATGCCTTCTTTCGTTGATTTCTTCAAAATGAGAGCTTGCCAGAAAGGATAATTTCACAGGGAGTTTAGTCCCCTTACTATCTTTCAACCAGTATGTTTTTCAACAATAATTATGCCGGTTACTTTTTTGGGTAGCTGCAAATGATGGACTTGGGCTTTAACAGGCACCCAGGTATCGTGTTTTTTTCAGTCGGGTACCCGGTTCCTGTACTACCTGTAAATGCATACCAAGCTACAAGAGAGTTTGGAGCATTTGACAGGATGAGGGTTGAAGAGCCCAGGGGCCAATTTCATGGGGCTGCTAAGCACAGAAAACATATGCTTAGCACAAATGGGTTACCAACCAATTTGTGTAATGCAGTAAAGTAGTGTTATCTGCTTGTAACTGGTTCTTGGCTGACTTTTGGTACGTGCATATTGTCTGCTTAGTAGCATTTTCCGCAAATGTCCACGTCCAGGAAATTGGAACCAGGGGAATAATTCATAATAAAAATAACTGGTACTTAACATGTATATAGCGGCAATAACTAAGCTCAAAGCAACATTATCATTATCCCTGATCATTTGGCCAATGAAACATTCCGAATACATGTACAATCTGAGCTCCCTGGGAGTATCGATACAGCCATTTCGGCGAAAGGCAGCTAAGAGCATTCACAAGAACCATCTTTGCCCTCGCAGATACCCATTTACTCCTGGGTGGGGAGAAGCTATGAGTGACAAAGTGCCTTGCCCAAGGGTATACGCACCTCAACCCCAGCCTGGAATCGAACCCAAAACCTGCAGAATTACCCGCAGACCATGAGTTCGGTGCCCCAGACCACGAAGCCACTTGAAATTTCAAATGCCAAAAAGAACTTGGCTTATTCGAGGTCTTGCCATATATATCAGCAGCCGATTTCACGAAACCATACACAGTTTGATGCTGCGCAACATTTCACTTATGACACATTTCATGAAAGTCTCAAAGTCAGCGAGTTGCGCAATGAATTATGACATAACTTGCGCAATCATTTGAGGTGGCTTAGCGACTGAAAATGACAGATTTTACCAGCAAATTGTGATCATCATGGAGCCTGTTGTTGCACAACTTATCAAGGCTGATACAAGACACTCACAGCCTCTTGTTTGAAGTAAATGAATTTTTATTCTACTAGTGACATAATTTTGTGAGTTGCCGCACAATTCCGAAAAAAAGGAAACAAAATAACTTTCAAAATGGCCGGCTGAGGTGATTCCCCGACTGTTTCATGAACGAACAAATTGATACACAAACAGCCGTCGTAAATGTTGCTTTTATCCTCGTCCAAGATGTTAAGATTATTTAAAACTTGGCGCAGCTGCACCAAGATTTGTGAAATCGATTGTAGGTTTATTGTGCAGCTGCGCAATAAATTTGTTGCGCAAGTCTTACGCATGGCGCAAGCTACGCACTTTTTCGTGAAATTGGCTGCAGGAAATAGGACCAGGGGAATTAATAATAATAATAACAGGTACTTATATTGCGTCCATACCTAAGATCAAAACGACATTATTATTACCCCTGATCATAGGGCCAATGAAACATTAAAAAAAACATGTACAATCTGAGCTCCCTGGGGAGTATCGATACAGCCATTTCGGCAAAAGGCAGCTGAAAGCATTCACAAGAACCATTTCTGCCCTCACAGGTCCCCATTTAACTCCTGGGTGGGGAGAAACAATGCGTGACAAAGTGCCTTGCCCAAGGACACACACACCACAACCCAAGACTGGACTCGAACCCACAACCAGCAGAATTACCCGCAGACCATGAGTTCGATGCCCTAGACCACGAAGCCACTTGAAAGTTCAAGTGCTCAAAAGAACTTGGCCGTGAGGTCCTGCCATATATATCAGCCCTTATTATATGTTGCCCACTTGTATTGTTCACAGAAAAGCGTGAGTTTCTGCGTATCATTGACCTGCTCAATGTCAAACTGTCCACCGTCAACAGGAGTAAGCCACTCTTTGAGAAGTACATACCTTCATGTTACAACACGAGAGTCAGCCAATTCATCTGCAAATGCGTCAAACACAAGTAAGTATGGGTCAATCATATGCATAAGCAAGTTAAAGATATAGTCCATCATTTGTAATTTGTGCATTTTGGTCATTTGAAGCAACAAAAGCGCTCAAAATCTAAAGAAGGGTACTGAACAACTAACCTGATGAAGTTTCAGCTCAGCTTCAGCTGTACATTCCGAGAAAAACAGCATTCTAGGATCTCAATTTCAAATCAAAAGTTGCTGAATCGTGTTTTGAATTGCGCCTGAATTCAGCGTCCGAGACACGTTCTCGCTGAGCCGATTGCAGCTACGCGATGTCGCGCACTGATCCGACGAATTATAGCAACCGGGGGTGCGTGTGCGTCGTACCAATGCTTGCGCACGCTTCGCTGAATAACAAAACGAACTACTAATTTAAATTTTCCTACAGTGCGTCTTAAGAAGCACCGTTGGAAAGGCCATCTTTCATTAATTACTTCAAAATGACAGCTTGCCAGAAAGAATAATTTCACAGGGAGTTTAATCCCGTTACTATCTGTCAACCAAGTATGTTTTTCAACAATAATGATGCCAGTTACTTTTTGGATAGCTGCAAATGATGGACTATAGCTTTAAGTTTTTAAAAGAAACAAAGCCAGCATTGCATATCCATATATATACCTGGAGATTAGGGTTAGAACATGTTCAGTTGAAGTGGGCATGGCTTATGTAGGACATTGCACTTACACATAATTTTTTTTTGGGGGGGGGGGGGGGGGGGGGAAGATTGGTAATTAATCCACAATTGTTGCAAATGTTGCACAACACTTGAAGAACCTGTTTTCTAAAACACGATAACGATATACATGTACAAGTAGTTAAATTCAATGAAGAATATAATACGGCGAAAATGTACTTTGTTTTACTGTGTATGTCCTATAAGTTTCCATTCACTGTAACAACAGTTTTGTCATCGTTTTTCTTCAAATAAATCCATCACATATTTGAAATAAACTCTTCATGTACAATTCTTTTCTCAATACGAAATGAAAAAAAAAAAGTTTATAAATGCTCTGGAATATGCACATATTGTGTGTGTGAACAGAATGCACCCAACGTAGAAGATACAGCATGTAATTGCCCAGCAACAGGGACAACCAAATTTGGCTTCCATCCAAATTTGTTATATATTCATATGTTGTAAAATTGTACAATCACTCAGCATCTAATATTTTAAGTAGATGGCTTGCAGAGTTACATAAAATAATAAGCATATAACTGCATTTCTATGTCCAACAAGTACATGTTTGTTGTGATTATCAACGACATCTTGTCGTGCCAGGTGCTGATAACTGTTCGACATTTCTTAAAGTTATGTTCCCAGTGCTCATCAAGAAATTCAATTTTTTTACTCTGAATAAATTTTCAACATAATTTTTTATTCCGACCAAAACCTCCCTTCTTCATCGGCAACTTTTAGAAAACAGATCCACCTTATGAGGGGACTGGCTCCCAGAGTATTGGGGGTGGGGGGGGGGGGGGGGGGGGGGGGGGGGGGGAGGGCGGCTCAGGTTTGAGCCCCCCCCCCCCCGGTCATTTTTGAAAATTATTATTTGTAATTTTTTTTAGTCCCACGATTTTACCTTGATGATGTGTATGTGGCCTATTTTCAAGTAGTACATGTATAATAGGGGCGGAAGTGGCGCCACCAACGTCAAAATAGTCCGCCTCTCGAAAAAAACATTTTGGGCAACATCTTTTTAAAACAAATTGGAGCCCCCCCCCCCCCAACCAAATCCTGGGTCCCCCAAAACTGTCCCGAAGCATACATTATTGATACTGATTGGTGGTGGGAACCAGCCCATCCTCCAAAAAAAAAAGAAATTGACAGAATTTGAAATGATTCAGTGATTGTTCGATCATTCAAAGTGAATAACTTTCGTATTGCTAGAAAAATAGCAATTTAGAAAATAGGAATCCATTTTTTGGGGGGAGGAAATGCAACTTTTATCCTTAGAAATTGCCCATGTTAAGTTTCAGACATTTCAAGGGACTGGCCAGCCAGTTTCTTGATAGGCGTATATGTTGCAGATATTTCAAGGTTAACAGAATGTTTGAAATACTTGGTTTAAACAGATTTATGGTTCCGACATTTAAAGCTAGAGTCCATCATTTGCAGCCATCCAAAAAGTAACTGACATAATTATTGTTGAAAAACAAACTTGGTTGAAAGATAGTAAGGGGACTAAACTCCCTGTGAAATTATTCTTTCTGGGAAGCTGTCATTTTGAAGTAATCAACGAAAGAAGGCATTTCCAACGGTGATTCTTAAGAAGCACCTTAGGAAAATTTAAATTAGTAGTTTGTTTTGTTATTCAGCGCAGCGCGCACAAGTATTGGAACGACGCACACGCGCGTGCAGTTGATATATTTTGTCGGATCAGTGCGCGAAGTCACGTATAGCTGCAATTCAAAACAATTCAAAACATGATTCAGTAACTCTTGATTTGAAATTGAGATCTTAGAATGCTGTTTTTCTCGGAATGTACAGCTGAAGCTTAGCTGAAACTTCATCAGGTTAGTTGCTCAGTATCCTTCATTAGATTTTGAACTCTTTTGTTGCTTCAAACGAACAAAATGCACAAATTACAAATGATGGACTGTAGCTTTAAAATGGAGGGGATAATTACATGTATGTTTCTGACATAAAGTGTCTGAAACGGTGACCCAATCCACGAAACGGTATTACATTGTAAGTCCCGCTGTGCATTATTGTGTAATGGCCCGCTCAGCGTTGAGAGGGTGAACATCTCTTCAAAATGTGATTTTCATTTTTTGTCATTCTTGACATCTTTAAGACCTACAGTTTCAGGTTCATTTACAGAAATGTTGATTTTGATGAATAAAGTGGGGAAAAAACCTGATAATTTTGAGTGCATTGTGCATAAATCTACATCAAAGCCTGCTTGCTTAGTTGTGTAATCAAACTCCAAGGAAGTACATACATGTATATGCAACTACTTCATATCTCCAGAACGGGAGGGGATGTGGGGCTCCATATACCAAATGAAAGCTTACCCTGTGGGCTTTCCAATCATGTACTAGTATATAACTTGATTTCACTTTTTTAACTTTTTGTGGAGGGGGTCACAAATGGTTGTAATATTATTGTCATTGTTGACGTTTCAGACATTTTGTCTTTCAAACATTCCTGGTTCACTGTGCTCTATTTTTTTCTTCTTCTTCAAAAAGAACATCCCTCTTAGGAGCCTAGATTCCTGAGGATTATCATACTGGATAACGTGCAAAGTAGAACCATGAAGTAATGTATTGTGATAGTTGCTGTGTGACGGTGCATTGCATGTACAAAGTGCATTTTATATCTCCTGAAGATGTCAGATCCATGTCGCTAAATTTTTCCTGATTACTTTTTGTCCCTTCCACCACCCATCCAGGTACTTCCGGTATTTCTTTGACTTTGTGATTGTGGTCAATGCAGTGCTGATCATCGCCGAGCTTGATGAAGCCGAGTGGGGTTTCCTGGATAAATACGTGTCGCTAAATTTTTCCTGATTACTTTTTGTCCCTTCTACCACCCATCCAGGTACTTCCGGTATTTCTTTGACTTTGTGATTGTGGTCAATGCAGTGCTGATCATCGCCGAGCTTGATGAAGCCGAGTGGGGTTTCCTGGATAAATACATGTCGCTAAATTTTTCCTGATTACTTTTTGTCCCTTCTACCACCCATCCAGGTACTTCCGGTATTTCTTTGACTTTGTGATTGTGGTCAATGCAGTGCTGATCATCGCCGAGCTTGATGAAGCCGAGTGGGGTTTCCTGGATAAATACATGTCGCTAAATTTTTCCTGATTACTTTTTGTCCCTTCTACCACCCATCCAGGTACTTCCGGTATTTCTTTGACTTTGTGATTGTGGTCAATGCAGTGCTGATCATTGCCCAGCTTGATGAAGCCGAGTGGGGTTTCCTGGCTCTCTTCATTATTGAGATCCTGCTCAAGATGTACGTGCTAGGCTTCTACAAGTACTTCCACAACTTCTGGAACATGTGAGTAGAATACATTTGTATGCATGCCCGAGTGTTGGACACTAGGCAGTGGCAGAATTGCAGTTAAGTCCGTCACAAGTCCGTTCACAAGTAAATTAGAAGTCCAGTCACAAGTGGGACAGAACCAAGTAAACAGTGCTTGGTAAAGGGCAATTTCACGGTTACTCGCGTTACATTTTTGATGTACTTTGGAGTTTCCTTGGGCTGTAGTAACCTTACTGAAAAGGTTTAACCATAACTCCCTAGGGGGTGTGCAAAATCGTATTGAAATTGGAGGATTCAGGACTGTTAGGGTTAATAACTGTTATCCCCATGGTAGATAGAGTAGACCTAGACCTACCTTAGCACCAAAGATGACATCCAGAAAAATGTGTTATGTATGGTAAACAAGACCCACAAAATCGGTTACTCACGTTACATTTTCGTAATTGCCCTAAAGAGTAAAACTCCATATTAAAGTTGTAATACTGCTACTCCCTGTACTTCCCCAAACTGTACATTTTTTGGTTTTCATCAGGAAATGAATGCAATGTAATACAATTTAATGCAGATGTTTATCAACATCCATAATTTGAGCAGTTGTTTTGGCGTCAAGTTATTCTGGTGTTCAATTTTTCCATAAGTGGAAGAGATCGGAAACGAAAAGCCTTTATCTAAACTGCTCAAGATGTGGCAATAAATGTCTGTTATCTACAGAGTTATTGATAAGTTGCAAAATTAAATAGCTGTCAATCAAAAACTGTCATCTGAGCAAGCTTGTGAAGTGGGGTTCCAACAGTCATGGAAAAATCTTGAAAAATGAAATTTAAAGCTGCGGTATCATGGAAAGTCCGGAAAATTCATGGAATTTCACTATTTTACACGGAGTCATGGAAAGTTGATATTCCAAGACAAAAAAAGTCATGGGAAAAGTCATGGAATCCTGCACAAACCATACGTGCTGACGGGTAACATGCGATTAGGCCAATATTCCAGCTTGCATTCCAATTTATGCTAGGAAAATGGTAACAGGGAACCTTGTACATTTTTGGCGACATGTAAGTTAAAGCTAAAGTGGAAAAGAAAAGAAAAGTTAAAGCTATGGTCCATCATTTGTAATTTGTGCATTTTGTTCGTTTGAAGCAACAAAAGTGTTCAAAATCTAATGAAGGATACTGAGCAACTAACCTGATGAAGTTTCAGCTAAGCTTCAGCTTCATATTCTGAGAAAACAGCATTCTAGGATCTCCATTTCAAATCAAAAGTTGCTAAATCATGTTTCGAATTGTTTGAATTGCAGCTTTACGCGATGTCGCGCACTGATCCGACGAATTATAGCAACCGTGCGCGCCTGTGCGTCGTTCCAATGCTTGTGCGCGCTGCGCCGAATAACAAAACGAACAACTAATTTAAATTTTCCTGCGGTGCTTCTTAAGAAGCACCGTTGGAAATGCCTTCTTTCAATGATTTCTTCAAAATGAGAGCTTGCCAGAAAGGATAATTTCACAGGGAGTTTAGTCCCCTTACTATCTTTCAACCAGTATGTTTTTCAACAATAATTACGTCAGTTACTTTTTGGATAACTGCAAATGATGGACTCGGGCTTTAACTAGAAAATAGAAGGAAGATCAGATGGCTGTGAGGGGAGGTGCAGGTCCCCTTGTTGATGGTAATGCACACTGCATACACCTATATTTTCAGTGTGATGACTGGCCAGTGTTTTGTAAATAGGTTTCTAAAATGTCCAAACAGCATCTATAGGCATTGGTCATGGAAAGCCCTGATTGTTTCCTGGAAGATTTATGGAGAGGTCAGAAGACCCTCCTGAGTGTACAATGCTGATTGCACTGAGTGTACAATGCTCATACAGTTACTTTTGTGGAAGGGCGCTGTGGAAAAACCATAGAGCTATATTAAATTACTATAGCGCTAACTCGATGTACAAAGTAATGCCTGATGGGCGCATCTATGTTGGTACACAAACCTATGGGAAACTTGAAATTTTGTACGGCTTTTGTACGGCTATTTGCATATCTGCATTTGTATTCCATACCGGTGTGTCATCGAAGCCGATACGCCCAAAACCGAAACGCACGAGCAGCAAATGAGCGTTTCATTTTGCTCTACGCAAACAGCGCAACGTGTGCGCGTCCCTCCGCTGCAGATGCTTTTCGCCGTGACGTTTTTTTTTAACCGTCATGACGCGCTTAAGTTGTTTGCCTATCTTCTACTTGCGCGTTGCATTCAGAGTACACTTTCAAAATTCAATCCATCTATTTTGATTGTGTTCTACAAACACGCGCATAAATTCAAAATGTCTGCGCCCAGAGCGGCTTCACAGCGTCTCCGCGCACAAAAATGAAGAGTTAGCGCTCTAGTAATTTAATATAGCTCTATGGAAAAAAACTAAAAACATTACACTGGTTTATTTGTATTCTGTGAAGCGCCTTGAGCGTCAATTTTTGATGTCGTGGCTGTCATGGCCGTTTAAGTCTCTTGTTGTGGTTGTCTCACTGTTTGCTTTGATTGATGCTCCGTGCCGGTCCGTTTATATCTGCCTGTTTTAGATAATTTAATTATGTACACCTACTTGTATTTGTATAATTTTGATGGTTGTTGAATTTAACAGGATTATTTGTATTTCTGTGAAGCGCCTTGAGTGTAATTTTTTGACATCGTGGCTTTCATGCTGTTTTGCATCTGTGCCGTGTGTGTCTGTGTTTGTATGTCTGTCCATTTGCCTGTCCGTCTGTTTGTCTTGTGCTTAATTGTCTATCTTGACACTTTTGTCTGTCTTTTATTAACCAGAATAGTTGTCTTGTCTACTGTTAGTCCGTTCATTTGTCCGTCTAGTGTGTGTTTCCCACCCTGATTGTGTAAGTCTTTTCTAGGTCTCTTTGTCGTGGTCGTTTAAGTCTCTTTGTCGTGGTCGTCTCGCTGTTTTTTAGCTTTCTTGTATAATTTTAGACTGTTTTTAAATTTTAACTGGCTTATTTGTGTTTCTGTGAAGCGCCTTGAGCGTCAATTTTTGACGGATTTGGCGCTTTACAAGAATTAGTTATTATTATTTTTACACCTCCCCAACATGGAACTTCTATCAAAATAATAGAAAATTGAAACACTTCCCTCCTAACGTTTGCTTTAAAGACGAACCCAACATTAGTTGCCTGTTTTGTGTTTCAAAAATCTTCATACATTGTTGTATTTTGTTTTATTTTGTTGCAGATTTGATTTTGTCGTTGTTTCATCTGCCCTCATAATAACCATCATTGAAGAAGTTTCAAAAGTAACAGCAAGTGAGTACATGAACATTGGGTCGAGTTTCATCCCGAACAATATATTTGTTTTTTAAATTGATCCACCGACCTTAAGGTATAGAATCATTTCTTTACAAACTTCAAATTATTTGTGCACAAGCCCTTTCAGAAGGTTGCAGTGGCCTTCAATCAGAAAACAAAAGTACCGGTAGCATTTTAATAACCATCATTGAAGAAGTTTCAAAAGTACCGGTAACAGCAAGTGAGTACATGAACGTTGGGTCGAGTTTCATCCCGAACGATATATTTGTTTTTTTTAAATTGATCCACCGACCTGAAGGTATTGAATCATTTCTTTACAAACTTCAAATCATTTGTGCACAAGCCCTTTCAGAAGGTTGCAGTGGCCTTCAATCAGAAAACAAAAGTAGCATTTTTTTTTTTAAATAAAATATAAAAATTGAAAACGCTTTGGAGAAAAACATTTTGTTTAAAAACAAACACAGAGCCTCCATCTTTAACCCCTTAAGCACGGGTTATAATGGGGACATTCCTCCACACATAGAGCAAGTGACCTACATGACTGCACAGCCTTTGTGTGGTAGCGGGACTGCACAAAAGCAGCAGCTGTGGAACTACCCACTAGCTGTGTGCCACGGCATACCACAGCTGGCAACTGCATTCCAATGAGGATTAGTGGCCGCGGCCATGACCGCTTCCCGGGCCCATGGAGTTAAAAATGCTGTTGTCCCATATCTCATTTTGTGCTGGTCCCAGAGGGCCAGTCAACGTTCGCTATCTGACTGACTGACTGACGGACCGAGTCACTTTGACTTTTGACATATATGTAGGCTGGTAAAAAGAGCTAGGCAGTGCTAACGTACATGTATATGATTACCCGTTATGCCAATGAATGGGCCCAATCCGGTCCATTGTGTACATCAGATGCATGAAAAGACAGCCAATGAATAGCCATTTTGAAATAGTTAAATTGAATTTTGTGTGCTGTGGCGAAGGCTTTACTAAGTTTGACTAGTCTTGTTTGTTTTGTATTTTGTTATTGCTTTACAGTTATTTTCTTAATCCCACACATGGACCTGTAATATAACTTGACAGCATTTTCTCTTCAATGTTTGTATCTTTGGTGACTGGGTCCATGCATGTTTGCACCCCCCCCCCCCCCCCCCACCTAGATAGTCATGCACTGCAGATGGAAATTGCTTCATTTAAAGCTTGATTTGTGGATTTCTTACATAATAATGAAGCATCTTCCTTGTTTTTGTAAACGTAGTTGATTACACTGACAAGACCCTGGACTTCATCCTGTCCCTACGAGTCATGAGAATCCTCAGGGTGATACAAAGCATTGAGAGGTAAAATATATATTGTGATATACATACATATACATGGAAACCAAATAACCCTCATAATGCAGTGTCCCAATACAAAATTATGCCAACCTTAAATTCTATCGGGGAGTGTGGCCTAGTGGTTAAGGATTGTGACTCATGTTCAGAGGGTCAGGGCGAATCCAGCTTCTACTTCACTAACCTCTACTTGCCTCTCTCCACCCAGGAGAATAATTGGGTACTGGCATTAGCTGAGTTATAACCTGCGATGGACTGGCATCGCATCCAGGGGGAATAATAATATTCTAAGTTGTTTCATGCCGAGGAAACTGGAAATAAATGCTGGCCTGATGTGCCATATTGGCTCGTGACAGACTTTTCCCAGTGGGCACACGACGTTATTTCAACGTTGATTCTTGGTTGAAATTGCGTAACGACGTCGAAATACCGAAAAACAACGTTATTTCAACGTCGGTTTTGCGACGTTGTTTTTATGTCGCAGTTTGACGTTGTTTTAACGGTGAAAATATGTCGAAATTGCGTCGCGATGTTAACAACCTAAATTCAATGTCGATACAACGTTGGTTTGGTGACGTTGTTCCAACGTACAGATTTCGACATGAATCCAACGATGAATAAATGTCGAAATTGCGTCGCGATATTAACAACCTAACTTCAATGTCTATTCAACGTCGGTTGGGTGACGTTGATCCAACGTACATATTTCGACATGAATCCAACGTTGGATTAATGTCGAAAAAGCGTCGCAATATTAACAACCTAAATTCAATGTCCATCCAACGTCGGTTGGGTGACGTTGTCTCAACGTACATATTTCGACATGAATCCAACGTTGGATTAATGTCGAAAGTGCGTCGCGATATTAAGAACCTAACTTCAATGTCCATCCAACGTCGGTTGGGTGACGTTGTTTCAACGTACATATTTCGACATGAATCCAACGTTGGACTAATGTCGAAATTGCGTCGCGATATTAAGAACCTAAATTCAATGTCCATCCAACGTCGGTTGGGTGACGTTGTTTCAACGTACATATTTCGACATGAATCCAACGTTGGATTAATGTCGAAATTGCGTCGCGATATTAAGAACCTAAATTCAATGTCCATCCAACGTCGGTTGGGTGACGTTGTTTCAACGTACATATTTCGACATGAATCCAACGTTGTACTAATGTCGAAAGTGCGTCGCGATATTAACAACCTAAATTCAATGTCCATCCAACGTCGGTTGGGTGACGTTGTTTCAACGTAAATATTTCGACATGAACCCATCGTTGGATAAATGTCGCGATAAACATTGCGTCGCGATATTAACAACCTAAATTAAACGTCTATATGACGTCGGTTTGGCGGCGTCGTTCCAACTTAGAGATTTCGACATTAATCGAACGTTGGATAAATGTTGAGATTGCGTCACGACATTAACAACCTATATTCAATGTTTATTCAACGTTTGGCTGGTAACGTCATTCATTAAAATTATTGGACAAAATATTTTGTTCGCATGTTCTTTTTCAATTATACCTTAATTATCCCAATTGTATCTTTAAATGTCCTACCAATTAAACAACTTATACGGCCTATACATGCAGTTTAACATGCCATATTTGCGTCCGTGCGAGAACGATTCTTTTCTACGATTTGATGTTTATGAATAAACATTGGTACATGGTGGGCTGGTGCATGGCCAACAACTTTTTATCCACGAGCCCCGCCGGGTACCTGCCAATTGAGCGCCAAATCCGTGACCAAGTCAGCGCCAAGTCCACGACCACGGACGTACACGTACACCGGTCATTCGTCTCATAGAGTACATGCAAGTTGCCCAGCTTTTCTATCCTGTCCCTCACCTAGACATCGCGCATCAACGAAAACCGGACTTTTGACGTCGCATATTGAAAGGTAAGTTTGCCATTCGGACTTCGTTTTGTCTATAATTCACTTTGGTATGCAGCAGGGTCCAAGTAATTTACTGTTTAGAAGTCTATGGTTATTTGTTGAACTTGATTCATTATATTTAAACATGATTCCGTGCTCGTGAATCGCGGCGTTCATGTCAAATTGCATTTTATAAGACCTTCTTAGGCATTAATTGTAGGCCATAAGGGCAGTCAAAGTGTAATTAAAGACCCCCTTCCAAATAATATAATTAAAAGACTGCTTTAACTTGCAAGTCCCAAGCTTCAATTTAGAAGCTATTTTCATGAAAACTAAACATATTGATAAAAAAAATTAAAAACTCGATCAATCTAGCATGTCTAGGCTCGATCAAAAAGACTGCTGGATGCAAGCTCTCTCCCTATGTGACAAAATTAAGTTCCTGTAGGCAAATTTAATATTCGTAAACTGCGGCCTGAACTGCTGGAATGTATCGTTTGTAAATTGTACATCGTGAAAGCTCCCTCTGAAAATTGAATCCTATGAAAGTTCTGGTCCAAATCGCAGTAAGCCATCGTTCTACCATCACCGGGATTCAAAGAAATTGTAGGGCCTTAACGGCGGAAAGATTGCAAAAAAGCCCAAAAGCCGGCTTCTTGCCCGGTCCTAAAAAGACATGGCGGGTGATTTTTTTTCTCCAAAGATCTGATGTCAATTTGGAAACAAAAACAACAAATTACCATTTTATGTAGAAAATATAGCAAATTTATGAAGTGGATGGGAAAGAAAGTCGGGGGGGGTGAAAAACTGCGGTATATTTCTTTTACTTGGCTTGGTCTTATAACCAACTTTTCGAGTGCATATCCCATAGGAAAAAAACATGTATATGATAAAGTTTTTTGATCAAATAAAGTAGGTTTTTTGGGGAGGAAATTTGTAAATGAATGAAGGGGTACAATGTACTCTATTACTGTAGCATTGACCCCGAAAATGCTGAATTAAATTAACTTTCTTTTCAAAGCGAAAATTACATGGTTTTCAGGCCTGATTTTACTTGAATTGTCAATGAATATATGGTCATGACTGTTTGTTGTTTAATATTACATATGTATTCGAATTTAGCCAGGAGGTGTGGTTTTCCCACAGATTCCTTATTGTGATTAGTTGGCCTGATAATATGTTATTCATAGGTAGAGTTAGACTTGTTAAATCTCTTCAGTTATTGTAGGTCTGCCTTTTTCTTTTCCTGTATTGAACTACTTGTTTCTGTTATAACCGTTTCTGCTTTTGACCTGTGCAAGTTTACTGTTGAGGAATGTGGAAGTACCCCCTTGGTGATTAGTCTCAGCTTGTGCAGCAGGAATTAATACACACAAGAGAGTTTGGTTTGGTCAAGTTTAGTCCAAGTCCATGGCATTGATCGAGTGCAGTGTCACGGTAGCTTAACCTCCATCGTTGTTTTCTATTTCGTATTAATAGTAATAACATATGTGGGGGAGGGGGCAATTTACTGCGTTGGTTTTAGGCATTTTAGTTAGGTTTTTAAGTTTCCATTTTTTTTTCAGGGGTCCTTTTTCAGTTTCAGGGCGAGTAAAAAAAGCGGAGCCCGGACCCAAAGAATATATTTCATATTTACTGAACAAGTTATGTAACACCACCATTTATTATGACTTGAAACCCATTTATTAAACTACGTTTAAGGGAGAAATGATTTCAATCGCTCTACACGTTCCCATTTTATCATTATTTGAACGAAGTAATTAACCCTTTAATCAGTTTCGTCCAAAAGTGTTCTGGCTATTTGGAACAACAAGGAAAATGACACAAAATACGTAGTACACAATATCTTTAATAATACGTAGTACACAATATCTTTAATAACATCCATGCTTTGGTTAACATTCCACCGTTTGAAAAACGCGCGTTCAAAATGACTTTTTTAAAATATTTAACTTTTAAACCAAAATTTTATCGCTGATGATGTATGAAGACAGTTGAAACAGATATTCGGGTCATTTTTTTAAATGATGATATAATTTGAACGGATTGAGCGATTGAATTTGTTCAACTATAAGAATACTTTTTTCGTTTGCTATTTTACTCTTTAATTTATTTCTTTGGGTCTTGGTTCCGCGTTTTTTACTCGGTATTTGGCTTATTAGCCTTAGTTTGAGTGAAGTATTTTAATCCTTTTTTTGTGCAAGATTGAAACAACCTAAACTCGTACATCTATAGCTACACCCATCCAAAGAATTAAAAGTGTGAGTTGATAGGGGCACGATTTTATCAGATTACTGAAAAATCAAAACAGCGACACGTGGTGATCGAATGCGCAAAGCTGCATCGATCAGCATTTGGCATTAATATTGTAAATGATTGCGACCGATACGGTACGGATCACAATATCAACAATAGGCCCTGTGCTTTACGTTACAGTAAAGTTATTTTTTTTTTTGGGGGGGGGGGGGGAGTCGTTTCTAGAAAACCATAAACAAAAAACTAAACCACTGTATCGCTATCAGTCCAAGAAATTCACAATTAACCAAAAGGACACTGTGATTGAAAAAATGAGAGTGCGCATACAATTTAATAGGACCGTAATTTGCCCGTAAATAACTACAGTTTTCCATTTCGGATACGATCTTATTTATGAACTTTGTGAAATTATACATCGAACGTTCGTATTCGTAGTGAACCACTCACAAGTTATTTCGTTTTCAAGATCGAAAACTGTTTATAGACAGGTCGCTGGGGTTGAAGGTCATGGGTCGTTTTGATCGAGGTTTTTTTCCAAACAGCCAGCACTCATATTTTATCTGATGCAAGCTGTAAAAAAAAGAGAGTGGCACACAAACTTGTTGATATGTATTTATGACGACCTTGACAATTAAAAAAAAGAACTCAAATTCAAGTTTCTATATATACTTTTACGTGGATAATTGACAGTGCGTCCAGTTGAGTATTTTGTCAAGTTGCTTGGCGTGCAGATGCGTTTTGGTTTTGGGTTGGTTCATATTTTACTTTGAAATATATACATTCATATGGCTGTTGACATCCTTATAGATGTACCTGTCTTGTTGCATTCAAATAATGATCTGTACAAGATAAAAAAAAATGCTAAGTTGAAGAAAGCAATTATATAAGAAAGGTGAACGAGGGGACGTAGTGTTTCTTTATAATGACATTGGATAAACTGTGCACAAATTCGTGTAAATATTTCAATTTTAGCATAGGCATGCAACTACAGATGTTTTCATTTTTCCACAGTCTCATTTTCATAGCGTATCTTGTGTTCAGTAGTGTAGCAATGGCCTACCTTAAGCGATGGAGAAAATGTCATGCAGAAGTAAGAGATCTCATAGACAACAGTGAAAGTAGCAGTGATGAGCAGGAAAACACAGAGGCAGATGATGTTTTGACGACAAACCCCATTGCAGATGAATGGGACCCCGCAGAGAGCAGTGCTGGTGCTTCTTCGGATTCTGTACCAGATCAACTTGATGTAGAGTCATATGGTTTCTCTGATGAACAACTGTCTTCTGATTCAGAAGATACTGATGATGATGATGTACGGTGTGACGTGGAGGTTGTGTCTGATTTCAGGGAAAGCCTTGCAACCTGGGCAACCAAGAACAGGTGCACGCGCTCTTCACTGAATGAGCTGCTGACCCTGTTGAGACAACAAGGGCATCGATTGCCGAAAGATGCGCGCACACTGCTGCAAACACCCCGTACAGTGCATTCGGTTGAGAAGTGTGGTGGGCAATATTCTTATTTTGGTATAGAAACAGGTCTTTTGAGGATCTTGTCACAAAACCCGTCGTTCCCTGAAGACACCCATATTGCTTTGAATGTCAGCATAGATGGCATACCTTTGTTCAAGTCTTCAACTACTCAGTTGTGGCCCATTTTGGCCAGCTTTCAAAATTCAGAGCCGTTCATTGTAGCTGTCTATTGTGGGGAATCCAAACCAACATCAATTGATGAGTATCTCAGCGACTTCCTACACGAATTCCAACAATTAAAAGAAGACGGCATTGAGTACGATTCCAAGATGTTTCAGGTGTCAGTTAATGCTTTCATTTGTGATGCCCCAGCAAGATGTTTTTTGAAGTGCATAACATACCACAATTCCTACTTTGCTTGTGAGCGATGTACAATAAAGGGCTCATGGAAAGGAAGGGTTGTACTTCACTCCAAAGACATGCATCCCTTGCGCACAGAAGAAGAGTTCAACAACCTTCAGTATGAACACCACCAAGCCGGCAAGTCTCCTCTCATCGATGCTGGCTTATCCTGCGTGAAAGGAGTTGTTCTTGACTATATGCACTGCGTGTGCTTAGGTGTTGTTAGGCGCATGTTGTATTTTTTGAAGAAGGGCCCAAGGTGTTGTCGGTTGTCCAGTGGCCAAGTCAGTGAAATATCTGAAAATCTAACGTCTCTCAGTGGACAAATGCCACGTGAATTTGCACGTCAACCGAGAGATTTGTCTTATCTGAAAAGGTGGAAAGCAACGGAGTTTAGGCAGTTTTTGCTATACACTTGTCCCATTGTTCTGAAAAACGTTGTGCCAAAACCAGTGTATGAGCATTTCCTCACACTGATGGTTGTAATGGCCATCATGCTGCAGTCTGATGATGTAAAAAGAAATGCCTATATTGCATATGCCCAACAACTTATTGTCTTCTTTGTGAAGAAATGCAGAGAGTTGTATGGAGACACTTTCACTGTCTACAATGTCCATAGTCTTGTCCATCTACCCGAGGATGTGATAAACCACAAGTGTTCACTGAATGACATATCAGCATTTCCCTTCGAAAATCATCTTCACATTCTGAAGAAATTCGTCAGACAGGCAAAGAATCCCATTGCCCAGATCTCAAAACGACTAGCAGAGCTAGAGAATTGTAATAGTAGGCCAGTTAGGCAGTCGTCAATGTCCTTCATTTCTACCAAAATGAAGGACAGCTGCTTCATTGTCAACAACGAAGACTATGCTTTCATCAAAGAAAGACGAGAGGATGGGACATTAGTGTGTGATATTATCAGACAGCGCCATACTGAAAACTTCTTCGTGCGACCCTGCGAGTCAAAACTTATCGATATTGCCTTCATCCGGGACTTCAACAAAACAAGGCGTAAGAGGAAATTAATGGAACGTAATAGTCTCCAACGCAAGGTAGTTATACTTCCTTCAAAAGATGGTTTCTTACTACTGCCAATGCTGCATGGAATGTGAAACGTGTGCACTCCTCCTCCTCCCCTCCTCCACCACCATATCAGAATACCCATTCCCCTTCACCACTGTAGCTATTGTATAGCAGAATGACAATATGGGCCTCTTTTTGAAGTACTACAGATTTTGCGGCAAGATGTGGACCAGAGCAGTTTGGCTGGAAGGGCAAGAGGAATTTGACGGGGTCGTCCCGGGAACCTGGGTCAAAGACAAATTTGTGTTTTGGCCACCAGGACCAAACGCTGAAAAAGCGATGAACGATGGAAAACAACCCGCCGAGACTTGGAGAAAGTTTCCTCTGCTGAAGACGAAAATCACATCAGGTATTTTGGTTCACTTAATTTATCTTTTAAATGTTCTTTACGCACAAAATGAGTTGGATTGAACACTTTTTATTACTTTTTCTCATTACTACATTAGTTGTCGTGTCTTTGAAATGTCTTTGGTGTGCCCCTTCTATACTTACAGAAAAACGAGAGGAATGTGAGGAGTACGACGAAACAACATCACAGGAGAGTGACGACGAAATCCCCGTTAAGCGCAAGCTAAAAAAGAAAAAGTTCATTGATTGCGTTCCAGGTATGTTTATAATCTATATTTGAGATGAATATACAAGTACAGAAACAACAGACTTTTGCCAGAGTTTTCTGTTTATTTAATTCTTCATTACATTTCTTTACCCAGCGTGTGTCCAAACAGTTCAAAACTGGTTTCCATTGGGGCCCTGCATACAATGAAAAATAACAAGAAACATGTATAGAAATACAATCCATTACAAATACAATACAATACAGTGGGATGAAAGCATTATTTGATTAATGCATAATTGTTAACCAAATGTTATAAATACAGTTTATTGTAAAACTAGTATTCTGTTTATTTATTTCAAGTTAAAAAGTGAGTCCAATTCCTGCACAAAATAATTCTTGAGATTGATACAACAATATATCAAACACGCACGCTTAAAACAATTGTGATGACATATTTTTTAAAGCGGACACCGTTTTGTTTTTCATGAGTCATGACAAAGGCCAACTGAAATGCAAACTTTTTTTTTAATTCCTTTCTTTTTTTAAGAATACTTGGGAGACAGTCAGCCTGAAAGTGATGAGGAACAGATTATGGAGGTGGTGAGTGAAGGTGCTCCTAGTGAAAATGAACACCTTGGTGAGTACATGCAATGTCTTCATGAAATCATGAATTTAGTCGTGTATCACATGCTGCAAATCAAACACTTGGGCTCACTGTTATTCTTTTAAGCTTTCATTATCAAATTCGCATTGCCAGATTTTATAAGATATGTTTTTTTTTTCTAAATGAACCAGTAGCACTTCCAACACCACCCTCTAAGGTGTCGCCAGCTGGGAGGCAAGCAACAAAGTTTGGACAATCTGCCATTGACCCTCGAGGTAGGATTACAACTCAATGATTCACGAAAGTAATCTGTATTTTTTTATTGAAAAAAAAATGCAAATTGAATATGCAGATTAATGGATTCGATATGTTATCACCAATGAAACACAGTACAAAAGTATGTCACTACACATGTTACATTAATTATGGAAACTTGGAAAGACTCCTGCAGCATCTACATGTTTATGCAATGTGAATACATGTACATGTTAAAAGGATTGAAGTTATCACGTATACCCGCATATTATGCATGTACATAACAACATTTTATGTAGAATAATGGCGTGCAAAAGAAAGTAAAATTTAGTTTTTGACGTTGTATATGTGTTTCGGTATAGAGAAAGCAACTGCAGTGACAACGACTAGGACGATCTCATCATCCGGAACTGGACTACCACAATGCGCTAATTCCTTTGCCCCCAGCACGTCTGCAAAGCCGCATGTTCTCAGTAACAGAGGTGAGAACCCATGCTCACTGAGTATACACATTTATGAAACCAACCCACAAACACAGTTAGTTCTTTCGAACTGAGTCTTCTTGAATTACGGTTAATTAACAATAAGTCCAGAAAAATGTCGATATAAATAAATGTATCTGCATGGCTTGGTTTTTTTTTTTTTTTTTTTTTTTTAAATACTTTGCACATTGCACACAGCACATGCTCTTTGTATACCCTTGTTGTACTTTAAACACGGACTTTTATTCGGAAGTATGATTTATAGGTCTATGCCACCATATTTACGCGTCAAAGTTGTCTTGGAAAAAGTTCTGAAAAAAAATAGGGCGAAATTTTTCTACATATACGTTGAATACATGTAAATGTAAATGTAAACAGATAATTCATGTATTGTTTATATTTTGTTTGAAAGATGAGCCATCATCAGCAAGAATGTCAAGGGCGTTCTTATCAGCTACAGGCGGTGCTGGTAGACAACATACAAATGTCGTCCCACTAAGAGGTAGGATATGCATTGAATACAGAACAATATGTGAGTAAAGAACCGTATTGAGTTCAACTTGCCAACTGTTTACAATTTCCGCAGGAAAACTTTCCTTGGAGCAGAAAAACATACCTTTTTTTGAAGCCGAGGCTTATTCGACATTTACTTTTTAAACATGGACAATTGAGAATTTAGATATAGAGAATTGATTTCTGAGCTCTTGATAATGTTTAAGAGCAGCATGATATGAAACTCCCTCGACATACTAAAATGTTTGTGCAAGGTGGGTACATTTGTAACAAACTTGGATTAAAAAAAAAAAACATGTACTGGAACAATTCTTAGAAGGATCTGTATTGAGTTTTTCTTTATGTACTTGTTTTCGTTCGCAGATGAACCATCACTTGGAAGACCATGCGCCAAGATGTCATCAGTTGGTGGACATCCACGAAATAGCTCTTCCACCCTTAACGCCTTTGGATCACTGCGGTCATCTTTCAGTTCAAGAGGTGAGAATACGAGGTCAGATGAATTTATTTAAGGTCCAGAAATTCAAGGCGGCCTGATATTCCTAATTAAACAAGATCTTCTTGTACATTTCAAGCCAATTTTGTCCCATTTCTCCAAACCCTCCATTTGGCACTGTGAACCAAATCTTATCAAAAAACAACAAAATATCAAAGGAGTTATTAGGAGTTAGCGCAGTTTAATTTTGAATGACAGTTAAATGCAACTCTGTGGTCAGTGGTTCAAAAATTACTAGAATCTGCCTTAAAGAAGCAGTATCAAATTTTCGAGTAAAAGGTCCTTCAAAACTCACATTCGAACTTACCTTAGTTTCATCGAGCAGTTTCTCGCCCTTCTAATTCCCACATGAGCATTCATATTCTTTTTTTATAAATCTTTCACTATTTTGCAGTAATAAATCTTTCACTGTTTTGCAGTAATATGGAGATGGTTTTCAGATGAAAAAAAATACAATGTACTAGAAATTAGTGGATGTTTGACAATGAACGATTTAGCCATTAGTACAGCAGATGGCTCCATTGCATAACCAACGTGGCCTTTTTGTTTCATTATACAGATGAAATAGCACTGGCAGGGACATCTAACATCATGACATCAGCTGGTAGGGGTCCACCTCAAAGCTCTTCATCCACCCGAAACACTTCAAGACCAAGTATCAGCCCAAGTTGTAAGCTCCCTTTTCTGATTTTACAAATCATTTAAATTTATTGTGCATATATTTCTGGCCGTAAATCCACAGGGAAATGTGCCATGACATTATAAATCATTCTTATATGAAGAGTGTCACACACATAATACTACTGTATAAGCAACCTCACAATTTTGATTTTTAAGATCACTTCGTTGGAAAGCAACAAATGTTAAGAAGCACTGGATCTTGAATAAAACATAATTGATAGTCCCAAAGGTATTTGTTTTGGGCCACAACACATTCGTTAATAGTAGTGTAATTTCAAATGCAGTGTCTGAAGACGGATCTCAAAGGTCTTGGTCAAGAGGCAGCAATGCATCAAGATTCATATCCAGATCCAGATCCAGATCCTGGTCCAGATCCAGATCCAGATCCAGATCCAGATCCAGATCCAGATCCAGATCCAGATCCAGATCCAAAGAACGCCCGGTACAAGGAAAGAAGAGGCAGCCATCTGACTCATTTCCATTGCCAGAAGGAAGTAAGTGACTCATGTGTTTGTAGCAAAGAGTGTTAAAATGGTGAATTATGCTATGCGCCCAATATTGTTCTCCCTGGGTCTACCTTAACGCAAATGGTAAAAATTCTTCTGAGTGACTAAAATTGTCAACTTTGAGCGTGAAAAACATGACAATATCCCAACATGAAGAGTTCATATGAAAATCTTGTTAAGCTCATAAATTTTTGCTTCACTTTTTTTCAAAATGCAAAATGATAGGACTGTTCATCTTCAACCCGCTGAACTTAATTGTTAATATTGCACAATGGTTAAACAACGATGCTTAAAAATTCAACCGTTGCAAAATGTTAGCTGTCTCTTTTTCCCATGTGGATTTAACAGTTTTTCAAAGTTCACTAACAGTATAATCTCCAAGTGCGAAATTTTTTCACCTACTTAATTCAGAGTTTCAGAAACGAGTTTTGTACCTGCTCACGGATATTCGAAGCCTGATCCAGAACTTAGGAAGAAGAAATGAAGAGTCTGAGTCTGACTTTGTGGTCGAGCGTATGTCATGTTTGGAAGAACTGAGAGATGTCGAGGAGGCACTGAAGGTGCCTGATAAACGACAGTCACTGGTATGTATCTTAGCCAGATAGTCTAGTCATAACAAATTCAAGCATTCGAAAATTCCTCAATCATTATGTCTTTTGTAATTTATTTTTAAAAAATAAGTAAGCATGCAGTTGCCCATCCAATATAGCCCTTGTGCTACACGGACAAGATACTAACATTCCAAGGTTTCCCTCTGCTTTTAGTGTACTCGTAACGATAAACTATTGTGACCAGGTGATGTTGCAAGTTGATTGTCAAACTCGTATCGCTTGTTTAATCTTGAGTTAACACAAAACGTGTACAAACAGACCGGCAAACAATACAAAACCATCTGTTTTAATAAGACCATTACTTATTTTCGTTTCAGATAGCTCAACTCACAAAGATTGGAGGAGTCAGCCTTAGAGACAATACAAGCAAAGTGATGCAGAGGTAAATAAAAAAAAAGTAAAGAACAAATATTGTGGTGTAAAACATGCATTTTCTCAATAAGGGTCAAAAACTAAACAATAAAGATGAAGACGCTGGTGAAAGAGAGGTGTCCTATTTTACTGTAAGTTCTAAGATATATAATTGCACGTCCCATTATTATGTTGGTATCCATCACATGTGAAACTGTATGCATTTATCAGGAACAACAGGGCTCACACAAATTGTCTTTCACGATAATTGTTAAAACTAATTCTTTTACACTTGCTAGTCGTGTACAAGTGACAGCTGAACATAGCTTGCTCTCAGTGATGATCATGCAGTCCTGCCTGACCATCATATTTGTGTGCAATGTCCAAAGAAAAAAGAAATGTGGAGGATCAATTTGGATGAACTTGACCCAAAATTTCAATACATCATGTAAAGTAAAAGTTTATCAATGCGAACACTGTTTATGTTATATTTACAAACATGTTCTTGATAATGTTACTCTAACCACTTTTGTGCTGTTTGAAAAATAATAAAGTTTAATCCCTGACTTCTTATCTCTTCTATAGGCTAATGACGAACGAGTTGATGTCGCAAATAAATATGAAGGGGAAGGGCGGCAAGATCGCCTTTGATGGAACCGCACTCTTCAACGTCGTCAAAGGTAGTTGCCTGTGCTTCTACTCGTATAATGAGTTTTCACTAATAGCATAGTTACAACCTTTCATGTGGGCTTTGCTAAAAAATTAAACAGGTTATGACAGTTCAAGTTACACTTTTGTGGGGCATGTATAAATGCATCTTATAGATGACACTTTGAAGTCAAACAAATTTCAGATTGAAGAAATTGAAAAACGATAACATTTTCGCATTTTTAAATATTACTAATAAATTTTAGTTTTCTGTCCTTTTATCTACAGCAAGTGTCCTCAAACGTCAAACTGGGACAGAAAGTGAATTGGCTGCAATCGTGGCAACATGTCTGAAGTACGCCCCAGATCGACGGGGAGGCGGAGGAAGAAGAAATTAATTATTTAAAAAATACTTTCCACTCTCAATACCTTCCTCAGAAATGAATGTGAAAACTGTTGACACTGTGTTAACTCTTTAATTACTGATTTTTCTTCAGACAAAATAGGTCAGTGATAAGGTAAAAAGAGTCATTACTTATACTTTTCTATATGTAACATTAAATTGCACGTGAAAAATGTGTTATTTAGAATGTGAATGTTTTGTAGTCTTGTAGCGATCCAGTTTTTCCATGTTTAAACGGAAAACACAGTATTTTCTTAGTCAAAGTCTTGAGAGTCTTTCCTCAATCATGTTAGACTTGACTCAAATCTGATGTTCCATTTTATATCAACACTTATTCGAGGTCTCAAAAAAGGTCAGGATAACATTACTCACAAGCCTGTTTTCTACGGCGTTTTTTTCGTGCATTTGCTGAGGTAATATGAAATTGTAAGATTGAGTGTCTTAAAGAAAAACAGGAAGTACTTAACCATAACTCGGAATCATTTTATAAGTGTGAACCGACTGTAAATTTTTAAACGGATTTTCCATTTTATAGTCTGTAACGCTCCTGTCAAAGTCATACAGTCTTCCTCACCACCTCTTGCATTTGTTTCATGCCAAGTGAATTCGTGTAATGCTCATAGATAAGTCTGCTATTATAGATAAGTCCTTAAAACAAAATATCGATGTTGCATCGAGTTTTCCTCATGTTCTGCACGTTCAACTTTTGTTATTTAACCCAAACAAGCTCTTAACACTGCATGTACATCGAACTACTGTTTATTTTCAAAAAGTAAATTGTGCTTGGAAATGTATGAAAAAAATGTTGACTTTAATAAAGCATATGCAACATTTTAATGAGAAACATTGAAAGTGATCAATACGTAACTTTTCTTCCCCAAAAAAATTGAATTGGGAAAAAATGAGACGAGATTTCAATGTCTACGTTGAATCAACGTCATGATTTCTACGTTGGTTTAACGTCAGCATTGCAACCTCAGATCAATTTGCAAATTCAATCATTAATCAACGTTGAATCAACGTAGAATTCCCGACATTAAATCGACGTTGAAATATCTACGTTGATTCAACGTTGTGCTTTCCACGTTGGTTTAACGTCAGCATTACAACGTCAGATCAACTTGCAAATTCAATCATTAATCAACGTTGAATCAACGTAGAATCTCCGACATTAAATCAACGTTGACATATCTACGTTGATTCAACGTCATGCTTTCCACGTTGGTTTAACGTCAGCATAATAACGTCAGATCAACTTGCAAATTCAATCATTAATCAACGTTGAATCAACGTAGAATGTCCGACATTAAATCAACGTTGAAATATTTACGTTGATTCAACGTTGTGCTTTCCACGTTGGTTTAACGTCAGCAAAACAACGTCAGATCAACTTGCAAATTCAATCATTAATCAACGTTGAATCAACGTAGAATTTTCAACATAAAATCAACGTTGAAATGTTGACGTTGATTCAACGTCGGCATTTCAACGTCAGAAAAACTTTCAAATTCAATCATTATTCAATGTAGTTCAACGTCGGAAACTGACGTTGTTTCAACGTTATTTCAACGTATTTTGCCCACTGGGTTAAGCACTATATAAAGGCATGGATTAGCATACATTATATAACCGACATACAGATCCTTGTCATTTGATTGGTGGAACTCACATCACGTGACATTCGTTATTGCTCCCATTGCTCTCAAAAAGTACTATCCGCCCATGGGGAATGGGAAGTACTATTGAACAGTAAGGATCACGACGCGGTATTTGTGTGCAAATGCATGCTGGTGTGCGCGTTCAGCATTGCGCGTAGCGCGTATTGTTCCAAAGAGCCAGCGCTACTGGGTTGGGTTCAAACATTTTCATGAAGGGGTGGTTTGGAAGAGAGGAAATACATTTTCCTCCAGTTTTGTACTGAAATAAAAGTTCAAATACATCAAATGACAAGGATCTATATGTCAGTTATATAAAACAAATATTGAGTAGCTTTAAATTGTGAAATGGGAGGAATATTATCGCTCGGTAAAATCTGGACTTGTCCAGTTCACTCGGCTTCGCCTCGTGAAATGGAAGTCCAGATTTTACCTTGCGATAATATTCCTCCCATTCCATGCTGAGCCACTCAATATTTGTATACTAGCCGTGCATGGCATACACGTTGGTTTACTTGTTCCTATCCAATCAATACAAAACCATTGCCCTCTGACTCCGCCTTAATGCATAATTTGATTACTTTGTTTTCAAGATTCACTTTACTTATTTTTTTTGTTTGCTGTCTAATTTTAATATACAGGTTGGCCTTATCAGTCATACAAACGGCTTTGCATGAGGATCCTGGTTCATATTACATAAACATTCATTCATAAATACCCAAGACAGTTTACCCATTCCTATTGGTCAAGAGCCTGTCACATGGCCGATTTCAAATGGTTGATAAAGACCGGCTGGCTGTTCTTTAACTTTTCCAGTGTCACATGAAATTTGGACTCCTATGAAATCCGGATTGTTGAACGTGCACAATCCTCACGTAAGCATGCGCAATACTACCAGTGAGTCAGTATTGCATATCCTAAAAAGGGGACCTTTTCTTGGACTTGCCCTCCACTTAAAATATCTGAAGTCCGTGAATGACAGTTTATGGTCTTTGCTTTGACATATGCTCCAATTCTGTTTAATAACCTTTTTCTATTGCTGCTCTTATTTTGCAGGTACCAGGTCATCATATCTACCATAACAAACATTGGGCCGTCCATTTTGACATTTGGTGGAGTATTGTTTGTAAGTACTGTTTCATATCTTGATCTTCCCAACCTTTTCTTTTAATGATTCCCCATTCATTTTATGGAGTCACTATCTTGATGGGGACGGTAATTTTCAAACAAATTATCCCCTTTTAAAATGTGTACGTTAAGTGCATTCTGTGAATGTTAAAGAATTTGAAACTCTGCATACGACAGCTCAAAATAATTGTGCTAATTATCATTTTGTCAGTTAATATCATTCTCTAATTTTACATTCATTTTATGTGTTTATCGGTTATTATGCAGTTTGAATCCTAATTCGGCTGATTCACAATGTAGTGCGCCACCAAGAGTTTGCCACAGAGAGTTAATTTTTTTCCCAGTGCATTGTGGGAGATAGTCAACAAATTCGTTCGCAGTGCGAGACATTTGAAATTGTTAGGTTTTTTGACAGTTTCGTAAGCCTATGATTCCAGTTTATGTTTGACTTTTTCTTTACTTTTTATCAATATGGTGTTTTTTGTAAGGCGGCAGAATGCTATGACTAATCTATAACAAATTAGCTCAAGTTGACGACTGACACTCATTCAAATGGGCCGCACTTTGTCGACCGTAAGCTTGAAAACTGAACTCTCCGTAACAAACTCCTGGTGCATTTTCACTGGTTCAAAGAAAAACAGGCCAGAGTATCCTATAATACATGTATCAAGACAACAATTAATTCCGAAGTCAAAATCTTATTGCAATAAGATTTTGACTTCGGAATTAATTGTTGTCTTCCTAGCTTGTAACCATTATCAAATTAATCAGGGGATAAAAGTGCAGTGGAGCAGTTATAAATGTGTGGTTCCAAACTGGTTAGCCAGGGGCATGGCAACCGATAATGGCCCTAGTCGAAGGGAGTGCCATTATCAGTGTTTAGTGTCCTGCAATACCAATAGCATTATGCTATTCAGGACACACATGCAAGTACATGCACATGTATTTACATTTGTGTGTATTAGATCACTTATCTGTTTGTCCAACTGTATTGTTGATGTACCTAAGGTGGCGCGGCCCTGAATGTGGCGCACTTTGATTTTTCGCCTGTAGCGCCTACCTAGAGCAAAATTTTTGAAATTTCATCAAGTTCTAAACACTCCTGTTCATAAATCGTGTGTTTATTTACCCGTAACAAAGTTAAAAGAAAAAAAATTTTGGCGTGATTTTCCGATTTTATTTTATTTTCAAGTGCAAAGTGAACCCTTTGAAAATGCCCCGAAAAATAAGAAAATAATTTTCTGACAAACTTCTGGCTGGGTACATGTATGTAAGTTGAGATAATAATTATAAATCAGAATCTATCAAGTTTACAGAAATTCTTAAATGTTAATATGGAATTTTCCGAGATTTAGTCAAGTTTACCACGTTAGGGAACACTCCGCCAATTTGTGCCCAATTTCCGGACGCCACCATTTTTGAACTTTAAATAAAATTTTATGAAACCGAAATTGTTCACAGAGGTTAAATAGCAAGCGTTAATAAGGTAAAAATACTAGTATTTTACTGCCTGAATTTGAGGTTTGTCAACAAAGAGGTTTGGCAACACTACACGAGGAAATTTGGGTAAGCTTCGAAGTGCGCCATGTTAGGGAACACAACTATACATCTTCTGCAGGTTTAAGTTATATACATTGTATACAGTCAGTTTGATGTCAACACTGGTCTCTCAATGTATTTTTGCACCCTGTCTGATAACGATTCATGTGCATACCACTTTAATCCACACAGACCTGCATTGCACGTAGGCCACTGATATCACTTAAACGTATTTACTCATTCATCACCAAGCTTTGGAAACCAAATAACCCTCATAGTGCAGTGTCCCAAATTCTTGAGCAAGTCCAGTAGAAAATGTAATGTGCAGGCTTTCATTTTACTGACGGCTTCTTGCAATGATATGCCAAGTTGAAACCACTCACTCAATAAACTCACTCATTTATCAAACACAGTTTTTATCAAATTTATTTATTTTATTTTCGAAAAAAAATTTTTTTTTTTATTCTCATTTTCTAAAAAACTTAGTTTAAAAGAACAAAAATGTGACTGTCGGTAAAATAGTTTGGAAATTTCCACACAAATTTCAAAATTCCTTGAACAGTTTGTCACCTTCTCAGAGATGCCTAATTCAATATCCACTTTATATCATTGTATAACAACTTTGAATGTGTCTGTTATTGTTTTTTTTTAGTTGTCCACAGGATCAACGTCATGACCATTCTTCCATTGGGAGTAGGATTAACAATCCCAGCATTCCATCCTCCTTTCACCATCACCCAAGGTTCATCGCCCACCTTGAAATAGGTCCTTTGCCATTGTACTTGTACTAGTTCTCAGTAAAAAGACAACCCAAATACATCCCAAAACAGGATATAAGACCCGTCATTATAGGCCAAAAACCCCAAATAGTCGGTCTCTGGCCAAAGTTCTGGAATTGATGTGGCGACGCGGCTTTTTTTTTTTTTCCCCCTATTTTTTCAAGCTTGGATTGTACAGACAAGGTGGGGTACTATTTTTGCATTTTTTGGTGTCCTCATGTATATTGGTATCCTCCATAATTTGCCTTGGTGCCCTCCATAATTTGCCTTGGTACCCTCGATCATTTGCCTTGGTGCAATTTCCCATTCCTTGGTGCTCCTTGGTACAAAAATTTGAGGAGGTGTGGCAATAGAGGCTTCTGTTGGAGCTACCGCGGAAAATATTGGGGAAAAAAAGGATTGACGCGCATGATTATTCTTTTTTTTGGCCTGACACAAGCTTAAAGTTGGACTTGTTAAAGGGAATGCATATCTCAATTCTGCTTTTGCTGCAATTTTCAGAACTAAATAGATTGGAAGGATTAGTATGTTATAGCAAATATATTTTTAAACTGATTTTTTTCACATTTTGTGCTTGTCACGATGCTGGAAAAACCAAGAAAACCAATAATGTTCTTGTAGTCTGGTTCCCTTAAGATACAAGGGAGCAATTTATAGACTTTTGGGAATTGTAAGGTCAGAGAATCAGTCTAGCAGGCTTGTACATGTACCTCTTCACAGGTGTTGTACCCCTTCACAGGTGTTTAATCAATTCAAAGAAAATGCGGAATAACTAAATATGAAAAATAGCAGCAGTTTTTGAGAAAAAAAAACAATTTTCTCCAGCACTGGTCGGCCGGCCAGCATGAAATGTCAACAAGGCGTCTTAAAATTTTAGCAGGGCAGTGGGGCCTCCTCGTGGAAAACACACGGTATTGAACACATACATGTAATGGCAGAGGATCTATTCAAGGCTTATGTTTTTTTAACATGTCATATGCTGTTCACCCATACGCTGGCTTACTTTTATAACTTTTAAACGTGTTAGATGGGACATTTATGTGTTGGGTCAGGCGGCATTCAGTGAATGGGAATGCTGTAAGCCACAGCTGTTGAAGATCAGAGACAAGTGAAGGCAGTTACGATACTAATCATTTTTTGTCAAACTTCAAATTTTCCTGCCATTTTTCAAGAAAATATCTTGAGATCATGTTGAAATAAAATTTTGTTTTTTGATGTTTGTCCAAACATTCACTAAATCAGACCAAAAAAATCCTGAAAAATCAGTCTTCAAAAGGTCATTGTTCTTCCTTTTTCATGTCAGTTAAAGAAAAAAGGAAAATGGGCCTAACTCCCTACCGGTAGCATGATTTACTAGGAACCATACCCATCATGGCAAATTTCAACATCATATGGGAAACTGCACAGACGTATTTCTGGCTTTGTTTCTGGAGGTGTGCCAACCCAATGTACAAGACTGTCACTTGAGGTACTGTACCATACCCATCCTGACAGGTTCCAACAAAACATGCTGTTGGGGTTTGATGGGTTGAGTTCTGTTAGGGTTTATTAATTAATGAAGTGAATTGGAGTAAAATGGTAGTAGTTAAGTGTCATTTCATATTTGCACGTCTAATGTACTGATTAATTCTTGCTATGGCACATTCACATTCAACTCACGCATGCATGACTACTCGTACAATTAATGTCCGTTATACAATTTTAAATGAAATCAAACAAAAAAGAGTCACATGATGTATGTCCCTATGAACTCAATCAATACTATTTTTCCCCGGCAGGTCATCTTCTATATATTTGCCATCGTCGGAATGGGTGCATTTCGTGACCTGATCAGTTACCATGGCTACGGGCAAGTGGGCGAGCCAGTTGACCTACAGAATCCATACTGCGGGACAAAAATGCCAAACTTCACCAAGTCGGAGTTCTACAACCATCACTACTGCAACAACAACTTCAACAACATCGCCAAGGCTTTCATCGTGCTGTTTCAGCTGATGATTGTCAACCAATGGCATGATATCCTTTTGAGGCAGTTGCCATGGCAATCACTGGTAACTGTGGTAACATGCATCATGGAGTGCATGGTTGGCTGCACAATATTTACATTTGATCATAGATTTCTTGTAAAAGCCAAATTTCCGACTTTTTTATGATTGGGAAAAAAGGTCTGGCATTTCATCACTTCACAGGACAGAAAAATACATCTGCATGTTGAATGCTCGTAGAAAAAAAAATTCTGTCTTGAGCCCACAGGAAAAGCTGTTGTGCATTGTTGATTGTCGCTCATTAGCCAATAAGAAAAATGGTTACGTGCTACATGTTATCAGTGTTCAAGACTCGCACCGAGTGCGCTCAACTTGACTGAAGTTTACTGCATGGAAACACCGCATTCGTATGTACAATGAACAATTTTCTAAAAGTTAAGTGTACTGCTATGCAAGTCTAGGGTACTTGTGCATGGGTTGATCCATGGTGATCGCCATTCTAGCTGGATATTCATTTCATTGTATTTAACATGTTTGCACATGTGTGTGGTAGTGTGATCTGATACACTGTACCCTCTGGAGACGTGTGTACAATAGGGAACAAAAGATTGTATACGTCTCCACAGGGCAATTTCTATGGATGAATACGTCTCCACAAGGTTTTCACGAAATAGATATATGGATTTTACTCAAAAACTAGAAATTTCCAAGGTATGTTGATCTGTCGCAAATGGAAGAGTTTTACAAAAGGGATATCAAGTCCAAATTTCAGCCAAGGAAATTAATTCTGGTTAAAATAGGAGCATTTTTAAACTACAGTTTCAAACTCGAAAACTTGAGTACCCGAGAATAAAGGTATGTCTCCATAAGGATACAAATTCCAGTATGTGCGATGTGTGTTTGGTGCACTTCAATCGTGTCAAATTTTTCAGGCCGTGGAGCAAAAAACCCACTGGCTTTTTTGATATGTGTACTGTGCATTGTCTGCAATTCAAAAGTTATTTTGCAGAATCCCTGCACAAGTACCCTCTCAACAGAGGGAAAGGGTCAGACGGGCCCCTTGAACATGTTGCGGTGATCAGATACACAGAATACCCTGTGGAGACGTGTGTATAATAGGGAACAAAAGATTGCGTATGTCTCCACAGGGCAATTTCTATATGTAAATACATCTCCGTAAGGTTATCACAATATGGATTTTATTCAAAAACTAGGAATTTCCAAGGTGTGTTGATCCATCGCACATTGAAGTATTTTATGTGTTAAAGGAATATTAAGTCCGAATTTCAGCCCAGGAAATCAATTCTGGTTGAAAAAGGAGCATTTCGAAACTACCGGTACATTTTCATACTCCAAAGTTTAGTACACGAGAACAAAGAAATGACTCCATAAGGATGCAAGGTTCAGTATGGGTGATATGCTGGTATGTGTATGTTCAGATTGAAATTAATCCCACTTTTTTTGCTCAATGTGTGAACGAGTATATGCACGCAAAGCGACCTACAGACTGAGCTCTATCACAAAGCACTATCTCCGATTCATGAAAGAGTTCATATTGACTGGCAATGACATTAATTTCAATATGTGATCGTTTCTTTGCCGTCTTGTTCCACACCTCAATCCTTAACAGTTCACACTGATAACCGATGGCTTTGTCCTGGTCACCAACAAAGGAGCCAGGGTATTCTTCATCACCTTCCATATTGTCATGGTCGTCATCGTTGTCAAGTAAGTGTGCGGGTACTATGATTATAAACCACAGTATTTGATCAATGAAGACATAATGCACTGTTTTATTTACGAGCGCTTTCTTAGAGAGCTTGCTTAAGACGAAAGCCTCCAAGTTCCCACCTGAGTGGGCACAGGGCCTCCATGTAAAAGAATAATAATGTGTTTCTGAAAAAGTGCATGTATCTGCCATTATTGGCACTCAAGGCGCTACATCATTACCTGGTTCATTGGGCCAACGAAACATACCAAGACAATCTTAGGATGCTACTGTTTTGGGGCAAAGCAGCTTAAATCAATCACAATAACCATCTCTACCCTCACACATTACTCTTGGGTGGGGAGAAGCAATGAGTGACAAAGTGCCTTGCCCAAGGGCACACACACCATAACCCTAGGCTGGACTCGAACGCACAACCTGCAGAATAAACTGAGTTCAGTGGTCCAGACCACGAGGCCACGGCGCTCCACATCCATAGTCTGTTATCCGAGGCTGCTCCAAGTTTGGTCACGTACTTGCAACAAACTCATTGAGTCAATTTGTTCTAGTGTTTATCTGTATTTTTATTTCTCCCCTTTTTCTCATCTTCATCAGCATTTTCATAGCTTTCATTCTGGAGGTCTTCATGGTGGAGTATTCCCTGTCCAAGAACAAGACCGAAGGCGCTATTGAAAAGAAGATTGATGAGTTGGGACTTGGGGTCGACCTGTGAGTAACACATTTGCATATTGAGACACTGTGTAATACGTACAGCACAAAAGTTTTATATCAAGCCAGCAGGTTGTGGACGGTATGTCTCTGAGTAACATACTCGGTGACAACAATGCCTAAATTGAGTGCAGGTCGTGTGTTGCTTTGATATAAGTTGGTTACAAGTTGACGAGGTGATTCTGCCTTTTAAACCTACTGTAACATTTTCTGGTTAATCCCTTAAGTTCAGACACTTTCCCAAAAGCACAGCTGGCCAGTCCATCCACGCTGGACACACACACAGACACAGACACGCTCGTTGATGGTGTAAATCGAGGATATTCTTTTGTTCCTCTTCCCTTTTCCTTTGTTGTACTCGAAATTTTTTCGCCACAGCTCTCATTGGTTTTGTACACGTTTTCCAACCGAGGAGTCCTTGATTCAGTTTCCGACCTCGATTCACCGATGATGCTGCACCGAAGATGTTATGGGGACAGCAAAAAGTCCCCACAGCTTGGTCCTCATTTGCCTAACAAGAAAAAAACTTCCACATTACGCGTTGGCAACCCACCCACAAAGAAAAAAGAACATGTATGACACAGCCCCACAATTCAGCATTTCCGTTGTTTGTGTACCAATTTTCAACAATCAAAAACTGCAAAATGTTTCATCACTGGACATGAACAAAACTTTCACTGGATAATGCTGATAATGGCCCAAGCCAAGTGCAGCCATTGTCTCATGACTGGTTTTTAAATGTCATCAGTGTTTAATAATTGGTTTAAAACCACTCAAGTGACGAGCTGTAGACCAACGAGAATATGTCAATTGTCCCAGCTAAATTAATGTATTTACGCATAAATTATGAATATTTTTTTTGAAAAAAAGTAAGACTGCTGCAAACTGCTTACTGACTGGATGGACCTGAAATATATAAATCTAAGAATTAGTGTGGCCTGACGTTGCGAACTTAGCAAGTTCTTCTTCAGAGGCTAAAACAGAAATGACAGAGGTACATACATTAACATGGGGGTGCACACAAACATGCAGGGCTGAAAGAAGAAACACAAAAGGAGGATTAGGTGGGAAAGGTGTGGAAAGATGCAAGGGAGGGTGGATGAGAAAACAAAGAAACAAAGAAACAAAGGGAGATGGCAAACCACAAGGGGTCTGGAATATTTTTTTTGTACAAAATCAAACTGAGTATATCTCTTTGTATTTTGACAAGTACTGACAATTGGTTGGATATGTTTGATGTGTACTTCAATGATTTCACCTTCTGCAGTGTATGAAGCGGGTAAATATATTACAACACAGATAATATAGTGTTCCGGAGGTCACAGGATTTTAGAATGAAGTCATTCATTATGCTTCCGTCAGGTACCAAGCACATGTATTAGGTTACAAGTTTGTGGTGTAATATCTGATTTTATTGTTGTGTGTTTGAAGGGCTGAGGAGAATGAAAACAAGGCAAGCAGGCCAGTCAAGATTGACAAACTCAATCTGACGAGCGACGTAGAAGGACAGAACTCCACGGCCGTCGATCACAAGCCAAGGGATCCGGGAATCCGCTTCCGTATTGGAAAGAGTAAGTAGGGTCCTGTCCTGCCTAAATCAGCTGTATTTTAGAAAAGTCGTCGCGTCAGTGCAACAAGGTCATATCTCCTAAAATGGCATAGAGCTTTAGAGAGTCAAAAGCTTGCATCTCGCTTAAAATAACCCTGATGTACACACAAAGTCAAGGGACGTCGAGATACGACCTTGTTGCACGGAGCATATTCATGCGAGATATGACTTTGTTGCAGAATCGAGTTATGACCTTGTTGCACTGACGCGACGAAGTAGTCAGATGACTGATTAAATTTGAAAATTCTAATAGCAGCTAGCATGAAATTGAGGGTTTTTGTAGACCAGGGTCCAATTTAACGGCGCTGCTAAGCACATGATTTTCTACTAACAAAGCCTCCATCTATTTCATGGAGACAGTAAGCATAAGCACAGCAAAAGGCATGCTTACTTCAGAGAAAGAATTTACTTAACTTAGTGACATAACAATAGAAATCTCCATACACGCGCGACCGTTAGCACGTCCACGCCGTGAAACAGTGCTTAAGGTTAGCACATTTTTCTGCTATGCTAAGCACAGCTTTTCTGCTAACTGTTAAGCAGCGCCGTGAAATTGGGCCCTGTACATCATGAAAAGGAACCTGGAGTTGGACAGCAGAGTGTACTCTGTGAACTGCTTTCCCAGGAAAGTCTTTGAGATAAGGGCCTTTCAATTTGCAAGAAAAAGGGAACATTAAAATTGGCAAAAGCAGTTGGTGCTCTGCTTTTCATCCGTCTCTGAATTTAAGTTGATGTTTGGTTGTACATTTTTTGTGTGCTTTGATGTATTTCAAGAAAAATTTAATATTATGCATCATCTAAATGTCCAACTGTGTAGAAAAGTCTTTCTGATTTTAACTCGTATTCGGACACACACTCTTGTTTTACTATACTCTCGAGGACAATGCTTTGTGTTTCTGTAATATAACACTCTCCCATAGACGAAGCGCACAAACTTACTACAGAGGACCTTTCCCAACAAAAGACCCAACTCCCGAGGGCTGAAAAGATCTTGTGTTCTCCCTTTGCGTGTCATGTAGAACATGCAACACCCCCCCCCCCCAATTTTCTTGTTTTTTTAACAAATTTTAATTTCTCTCTCTTTTTTTGGGCACCGCAGAATCCAGAAATGTACAGGTGTCGTTGCAGGCCATGTTTGAAGGAGAACTGGACGAGGAGAACATGGGACCGGAGGAACTGGACGACATTGATGAAATGAATCCGGATGAGAATGAGCCCATAGCCTACACTCTCAATAATGCTCTCTAAATAGGATACACTCATAGAGCTATGCACTATGGGCTCCGTGTGCAAGTGCCCCCTCACCGGCAAGAAAGGGAGAGTTGGGGGACACCACTTGGAGTGACATTTGAATGTATCGCCGACGACGCCTGACGCTCATGCGAAGATGCTTTGTGCACATTCAGTATATAATAACTTGTGCGTACTGCACGCTATAGAGTACCGAAGTGAATACATCACGCGCACAATTATGTGTGTAAAAGACATTAGTGCGTGGTTCAGCCCGTGAACCAACACGTGCGTGTACTCCATTCGTTTGCACTGCATTTCCTGGTTCAAAATTACGTCACACTTCGGTACTCTATATGTGCTCAAACAATTACCCACAACTAGTGTGTGCCGTACAAGGGGCTCGCAAAAGTGGTAACAAAACGCCCTCTCGTTGGTGCACGGAGCTCATTGTTAATTATAGGCTTCCTTAGTTACTTTAACACGTTCGTCATTCAAATTTCATGGAAGGATTTAATTTTGTTCCAGAACGTCGTCGGCTCCATTCTTAATTCTGATTTCGTTTTTACGCGAATAGATTTCATAGGAAAGAATTAGGCCACCACTCATGTTTCTAAATATGACCTGAAAGGTACCAAAGGTTGTAAATCTGATGAGGGAACACTATTTAATGGAGTGCAAAAATTCTTTTATATACTTTTTAACTTTTTCTGTCATGGCCCATAGACTTTGTGCAGGAGGTCTGAGTGGTGGAGTGTAATTCGTGTATATAGCATTCAAAACCAGTTCAAACCTGTCGCCAATTTCCAGTTGAACTGGTTTCAACTGGAATTTGCACTTGGGCACACAAGCAACTTTAACAAAAATCATGCTAATTTATCAGGCAATGGACTGTATAGCAAATTTGAACTGGTTATAGTTAACGGGTTAAGTCTTTTGTTTCTTTTCCATTTTTTCATACATGCCATAGCAATCAATAATCAGTTCAGTATTAAAGTAATGAGTGTATTATTTAATAGAAAAGAGGCTTCTTTTTTCATATATACTTCAGTGTAAATATGTAATGTGCATTTTATTATGTCAATAGCATAATCAAAGCAATACTTGAAAAATCACAACAGTATTTGAGCACTTTTTACTATTTCGTAATTACCAGTATTTTGTGACATATAGCCGACCAAAATTGGCCAGTATTTAATCAAATTATATTAATTTTAGTAATGTGCTACTGCTCAAGGTATTAATTTTAGACAACAGATATATGTTACATCTTTTTCCTATTATATCCTATTCATATCTTGGAAAGTAAATCAGTTCAAAGAGACCTGAGAAATATATAATGTACCATTTTCGTCTTTAGTTTGCTCATTTTTTTTACCTGCCATGGCTGGGTTAAATATTTTTTGGGAGATGAGTCGAGAATGAGTCTCATGGAAGTGTACATGTACTCAGCTTTTAAAAAATATTTGCGGTCAATTATTTTTCAAAATTCACAGGTGAGCATGAAAGTTAATATCAAAATGTATTTTGTGTATCATGGTATGAAAAGGGCTTCCTAAAGTAATTCTATATTTTACTCTGGACAGCTATAGTCATAAATTCAGATCAAGTTAATTTTTACTTTCATTAAATCTACTTTCTGTATTTCAATCTCTTCTTTACCACTGCAATTTGATTCACCATCAAAATATATTGTAAAAATTTAATTCAAATAAAAAAAACAAATGAAGTATTAGATGGTATTCATACCTCGGTATTTATTATGCAATGTTAAATGAGAAATTATAGATATATACATTATAGATATATATACATCACGTTCCTTTGTAAGTACAACAGCGATAAATGTGCACTTAAATATTTTGTTTGTTTTTGGTATTGGAAATAAACACTTTCACTTTGACATGGTTTTTGCTACAAATTTAAATTGTATTAAAAAATATGAGATTTATGCATACTAAGAGATTTATGCAAATTGTAACATTTTTAAAGTATTTACTAAAGAAACATACAAACATTTGATATGCCTTTTTACGTTATCTAAGCCACAAAATTGTGGAGACAGATAAAGAGATCAACTTTATTAACACTGTAAGCAACTTTATTAATCGCTCAAATAATTAACTTCTTTTTCTCCAAAATGGATGATTTTTGGACAAATCTTCAAAATTGTGCATGTTAGAGTATTTATTGATGTTCCTCTTGCATCCTGATGAATTTCTGCCTTGTTTTGAGAAAAGTCAATTTTTGGCCATTTTTGACTAAAAATGCAAGGTTAACCCCTAGCTTTTTTTTCAATTTTGGCCAAAAAATGAAAATGCTTGAAAATTGCTAGAAAGATACATTAAGGGCTCTAGAATGCATTCCAAATCGACTTCTTGACAGATGTGCTAATAAAGGGGAAATTCCGTACCAAATTTCAGTCAAATTCGCTCAAACAAATTATTTCTTTCAGTTCTCAAAAAATGGATGATTTTTGCCTAAATACTCAAAATTTTGCATGTTAGAGTATTGATTGATGTTCTTCTTGCATCCAGACGAATTTCTGCCTTGTTTTGAGAAAAGTCAATTTTGGTCATTTTTGACTAAAAATGTAAGGTTAACCCCTTGTTTTTTTTTCAATTATAGCCAAAAATGAAAATGCTTGAAAGTTGCTTAAAAGATACATTAAGGGCTCTAGAATGCATTCCAAATCGATTTCTGGACAGATGTGCTTATAAAGGGGAAATTTCGTCCTAAATTTCAGTCAAATTCGCTCAAACAAATTATTTCTTTTTCTCAAAAAATGGATGATTTTTGCCCAAATACTCAAAATTGTGCATGTTCGAGTATTGATTGATGTTCCTCTTGCATCCAGACGAATTTCTGCCTTGTTTTGAGAAAAGTCAATTTTGGCCATTTTTGTCTAAAAATGTAAGGTTAAACCCTTGTTTTTTTCTAATTATAGCCAAAAAATGAAAATGCTTGAAAGTTGCTAGAAAGATACATTAAGGCTCTAGAACGCATTCCAAATCGATTTCTGGACAGATGTGTTAATAAAGGGGAAATGCCGTTGAAAATATAATATTTAATCCCTCAAATACTTAACTTCTTTTTCTCCAAAAATGAACAATTTTTGTCCAAATTTTCAAATTTGTGCATGTTAGAGTATTGATTGATGTTCCTCTTGCATCCAGACGAATTTCTGCCTTGTTTTGAGAAAAGTCAATTTTGGCCATTTTTGACTAAAAATGTAAGGTTAACCCCTTGCTTTTTTTCAATTTTGGCCAAAAAATGAAATTGCTTGAAAGTTGCTAGAAAAATACCTTAACACTGTAAGCACCGTTCAAAGTGGCTATTTCAAGGTGGAAAATGTAAATTGCTGCTCTTCTGATAGCCATACTTTCAATGTCAATTGTCGCTGTAAGGAGCGTACATGTACATTATTCTTTTTTAATAATAATTGTTTGTACACCTGTCTGTAGCAGTAATTCCATATAAAAATTCAATAAATCAATGGTAAAATAGTAAAATTACTTTATTCTACTGTAATTGTCGAGTAGTGAGGTCTGTGTGATTATTATTCCCCCCAAAAATGTATTTAGTTATTTATCCCTACTTCTCTAGCACTAAAAAGTTATTTACTTTTGAATGAAACATCAAACGAAAAAAATTCCATGTTTATCACAAATCAGTTTATTTCACACACAAATCAAAACACACATAATGAAATTTGTATCCTTGTGGAGACATTTCTTTGTTCTTGTGTACTAAAGTTTTCGAGTTTGAAAGTACAGTTTCAAAATGCATTTTAACCAGAATAAATTTCTTTGGCTGAAATTCAGACTTAATATCCCTTTTCTAAAACTCTTCCATTTGCGACAAATCAACACACCTTGGAAATTCCTAGTTTTTGAGTAAAATATATATATCTATAGAAATTGCCCTGTGGAGATGTGTACAATCTTTTGTTTCCTATTGTGTGCATGTCTCCAGAGGGCACGACGTATCAGATCTCAATGGAAGCATTATTTCTACAGTGTGGTCTCCATTTTGTCCACAGAGCCAACGCAGATAGAATAAACAATCCTGTACATGTTTTGTATATTAATTATAAAAGATACGTAATTGCAGCCAAATGGTGCTACCTTAAAGTTCCTCTCAAACTTATGGTTTGTTGCTCACAGATCATGGGTCCGAGTTTGAATCCCCATGTTTTTTGTGGTTTTGAAGTGAAAGTGAGCCTTCATAAAATGCCAACAATAGCATGATTGATATCCCTGTTAATTCACCATCAAAATATATTGTAAACATTTCATTAAAGTAAAAAACAAATGAAGTATAAGATGGTATTCATTCCTCGGTATTTATTACGCAATGTTAACTGAGAAATTATAGATATATATACATCACATTCCTTTGTAAGTACAACAGCGATAAATGTGCACTTAAATATTTTGTTTGTTTATGGTATTGGAAATAAACACTTTTACTTTGACATGGTTTTTGCTACAAATTCTAATTGTATTCAAAAATTAGAGATTTACGCATACCAAGAGATTTATGAAAATTGTAACATTCCAAAAGTATTCACTAAAGAAACATACAAACATTTGATATGCCTTTTTACGTTATCTAAGCCACAAAATTGTCGAGACAGATAAAGAGATCAACTTTATTAACACTGTAAGCAACTTTATTAACACTGTAAGCACTGTTCAAAGCGGCTATTTCAAGGTGGAAAATGTGCAGACATATTGTTTTTAATGTTAATTGTTTGTACACCTGTATGTAGCTATTATTCCATATAATTCAATTAATTAATGGTAAAATAATAAAATTGGAAAGAGTTAAAATTACTTTTTCTTATTATTATACTGTAATTGTTGAGTAGCGAGGTCTTGTGTGATTATAATTCAACCCAAAAAAAGGAACTTTGTTATTTTTCCCTAATTCACTTTTGAATGAAACATCAAACGAAAATACTTCCATGTTAATCACAAAATCAGTTTATTGCACACACAAATCAAAACTCAATGGAAGCATTATTTCTACAGTGTGGTCTCCATTTTGTCCACGAAGCCAACGCAGATGGAATGAACAATCCTGTACATGTTTTGTTTAGTAATTATAAAAGACAATACAACTATAAAGGAAAGACAATTATAAAGGAAAATACAATACAATACAATTCAATACAATGGGATAAAACATTATTTGATTAATACATAGTTCTTAAGCAAATATTTTAAATACAATATATTTTAAAACTATTATAACTACATGTACAATGTCAAGGCTTTACCGTAAGGTGAATTCAGTGAACACCAAAAATTTGGATCTTTCATGTCACATCAAGAAAAACAAATATTGCTATAATTATATTCGCTGATTACGGGAGGGGCGAAAACCCCGCGAAAAACCCTTTTGGGAGAAAACACAAGGAAATTCCCATCCGGCTCCTTATGATCTCCTTATGGTGTCAATAGTATGATTGATATTAGAGATTAGCTGCTGAGACTGTCTCCAAGGTCCAGAGTAGCCTCTTCATAAAGGTACAAGGCATAAAGATTCAAGTCACTTGGGGGCCAGAGATTAGGGTTCCATCTTTTTTTTCTTGGACGTTTGGGTTTATGGGTGGACAGGAATGCTGAGAGTCCTATAGTGGAAGTCAGAAATGGGTTCAAATTGAAGTCCTTGGCCCTACTCGAATCGAATGCTTGGTCAACACTTAAACTTTTTTTTTTTTTTTCTTCACTTGATATTCTTCTCTTAATTGGCATGGCAAGGACATGGTGCACTGGGGAAAAAAATGAAAGTCTTCTTCATATGTGATGCGATCAAGATACATGAGCCGTTTGTCGACCCTGGTCATTTCTTTTTTTTTTACAGATTTGAAAAGAGCACAATCTCAGCATTACTGATGTGATGAAGTGATGTGATAAAGTGGCCCTATTTTGGCCTGAATCTCCAAATGAAAATTCCCGACAAATTACTCATTTAGCTTGATTGCATCACATATGTCACTTTGAATAATTACTATGTAACTATGTCACAGTTAAAATATTTCCACCTCGACCTCGATGGAACTCACGAACTCCACCCCTCCACATGCCATCCCATGTCGTTCCCTGATGTAAGGGAGTGTAAAATGATGGACCACAGCCCCTAGTGTACTTGTTGACTTTGGTGGCTGGGTGAACTCGCAAGGTGTCCGTAGGTGTTAATACCAGAGATTGTTCCTCTACGAAGGTCCTCCCACAAAGTTTGCATCGGACATCATCCATCCTGTTTGGGGAAGAAGAAATGTTGGTATTAGTCAGTGGCAATATCATTTACGCTTTACCATAGGTCTCCCATATCTCATTTGTTGGTGGGGTTCCCCAGTGACTCACGTATGGGCACAGTTCAGTCGCCTTGTCATGTTACTGTCTCGCTTTGGCCTTCTCTTAAGTCCTCTTCCATTGACTGAGGTTCTGCAGTTACTTTTGCAGACTGGATCCAGGCTGGTGGATTTGGCTGGTCCGGGATGAGGATCAGCCAATGGTTAAGGAGGCAGACAAACCGTGGAAACCTCGGTGGCCGAGGCAGGGTGATTAGAAGGAGCAGTACGTTCCTGTTCGATTTTCTAAATTACTCCAGATAGTAGGGATATCGTGGGAGTACATAGGCAAACAGGCTGGTATACAGAATGGAGAGGGCGTCGGTTCACCATGACTCAGGAAATCTGGAACAGAACACTGGAAGCTGGTGTTT